AACGATACCGATTTTATTAATTGCGATGGCCCGGTCATGAACAAGCTTCTCGTCGAGGTAAGTTTCTGTGTAGATAGTGCCGCTAAAAGAAAACGAATCCAGGCAAAACCGAGTATGACACTCTTTACTGGAAGCTCTCGGGTAGCAGAAAAGCTGGCTTTGGATTTGAAAGGTCGAATCAAACTGGAAGATGCGGGTTTTGACTGGAAAATCCTTGGGCCAGATGTCAACGAGGTGACTGGTTTCTAAGATCTTTTAGCTGCTGTGGTTGACGAGTACACTTTTGCAGATTGACTACGTTGCATGGGTTTGCGACCAGGATGCATATGCGTGCAGTGGTCAGAAGTGTTCGGCACAGTCCATTCTTTTCATGCACGAGGTCGATACTGTTTTCTTAAAGCTAGCAGGAGCTGAAAAGCCGTAGTTGCAGAACTGGAGCTCAAGGAATTTCGTGGAGAAGCTAAAACAGCTAGCTGCCAAGAGGAAACTGGATGATTTGACGATCGGACCAGTTCTCACGGTATTCAGCTTTAAATCCCATCTTTCGACTAACGTCAGATGTTTTTCTCAGGTCACAACTAAAACTATGTTGGATCACATGGAAAAGCTGCTGAGCATTCCCGGTTCTTCTGTCGCGTTTGGCGGAAAGCCTCTCGAGAATCACAGCATCCCAGACGTGTACGGTGCCATCGAGCCGACTGCCATCTTTGTACCGCTGAAAGAGATCCTCAAGGACGAGCATTTTGATCTCGTTACAAAGGAAATATTTGGTCCATTCCAGGTTCGTCATCATCCAACCAAGCACCGAGTTCATTTCCAAATGCCTTGGAATGTGCATGCACAGGTTATTACAGAGTTCAAGCAGTGTGAGCTCCCACTCGTCTTGAGAGCTTGCGAGAGAATGCATGCGCACTTGACAGCAGCAGTCGTCTCAAACGACGTGGAGTTTTTACAGGTAACGAGAACCCCGTTTTCGTTAATAGGTCCTTTCTCAAAATCTTGCAGGAAGTTCTCGGGGAAACCGTGAACGGGACAACTTACGCTGGCATTCGAGCTCGCACCACAGGAGCTCCTCAAAATCACTGGTAAGCTTCTCGAGTTTTGCGAGATAACGAGGAAGAAACTATTGTTTTGATACAGGTTTGGACCCGCTGGAGATCCACTTGGTGCTGGAATCGGAACTCCAGAAGCCATCAAACTGGTGTGGTCTTGCCACCGTGAGATCATCCAAGACTTTGGACCCGTTCCAAAGAACTGGACAAGCACCACTTCTTAGATGTAGTTCTAAGTTTGAAGCTTATCACTAGAGAAAAGTCAACTTTAGCAATCCACCATTTCACTATGATACGAACGTACTTTACACTGAGATCTTCCTTTATCCCACTCCGTTTTTGCTATGAGTCGCTTCGTCTCAAGTAACTCAACAGCGAGTTTCGATTGCAAACGATGACATGGAACAGCTTGTCCATGTCACGACGCACTCGATCCAGCCCCTCCTCGGCGCTCTTCAAAACAGCCGCTAGCTTTCGTGCTCCATCAGCAATGACGCTGCAACTCTCGCTTTCCTCCCCAAAATCTGTGACTCCTCCCAACTTGGCCTGGAGCTCTTCCACCACCACCTCCAGAGCAGCAAACTCGACCACCAGCGGAGAAAAGCGAGTGATCTTGTGCTGCAGCGAGCTCCTCACAAGCTCAAGGAGAGCACGCAACGTCGGCGACCACGCAAAGCTGTCGGGAATCTCCCACTCTGCGATCCCAAGTGTTGCATTGCTTCCGCTAAACAGCGCCACGACCGCCCCCAGGACGCAAACCGCGACCACCTTTGCCGCATAGAGTGCGCTCAAGAAACTCCGCCTCGCCTTGTGTGGAAGATCCTTCTCAAATCCCGGACGCTGCTCCAGCATCTCTCGCAAGACGCCGCAGCACGACTTCACTGCGATCCAAGTGGTGCTCGAGCCACCGGGGGAAGTAAACTCCGCGAGAGCTTTCCTGGCTTTGGCGTACCTCTCCTGCCTTGTGCCGTGGCCGGACTCCAGTGTAGACACCGCGAGATGGAGTAGCAGCAGCCTGTGCTCCAGATCCCCCACAACCTTCCTCAAGGTGTTTAGAACGTCTAAGAGCCGGCAAGTATCCTCCAGGTACTCCGAGACCCACTGCTCGTCCCCTTCCGGGAGGGGACACTCCAAGCCGGGGATGATAGACTGTGCCTCGGAGATGGTGGTCGTGACGAGTACCAGCGCTTGGTCCATCCAAGCCAGGCTAAACCTCTGCTTGGTCGGTGCCAAGGCCAGCTCCAAAGTTGACAGCCGCTCGGCCAGCATTACGTCGAACTTCGCCGCTCGAGGATCGGACTGGATGGCGGCGGCGTTGTGGTGGAGTCCATGCTTGGGGGAGTTGTGGAAGTTTAGAGCTTGGCCGATAGTCGAGAACAACGATGGTCCGTGGTAGTGATGGTGATTCCTCGTTCTCATGATGCAAGACCTGAAAAGAATGCACATAAGTGATCGAAAGTCAAACGAGAGTGGCTCTAGAGTTACACGAAAGATCACACCGACGGATCATTCCAAGCTCTATGGGTCTATAGAAAAGGCTAAAAGGAAGAGGAATCGCGCCAGACATTCTGCCCAGAGCAACGATCTCAAGCTCTGGCCGCTGAATTCCAGCATCTCGAGCCAGCCCCAATCTTTGAGTGGATCAGTCCTAGCGACTGTAGAAGCCGAGGCGCGAGAATCTAGCTACCTTCTTACGAACGCAAGGGCGATCCTTCGCTTTAGCTCCTCGCCGAAAATCCTCGCTGAAAATCCTGATCGAGAGAGTAAAGAGCGACGGCGAGACCTAAGAACCTTCCAGAGCGCCACGTCAGCGCACTAAAAAGATAAATCCCTGTTGCCGTGTGGCGGCCGGATAAACATGCCACGCGGCGGTTAATACACGTGGCGTTGCCTTTTTCGTGCGATCGTGACGGTTGGAATCGAACGCGGGCGGGATATTTTTGAAAATCGGATTTTAGAGATCTTGCCTGTGAGGCGAGCGCGGCGATGTCGAAGGAGGTGGAATGCGGAGGCTGGGCCGCCAAGGATGCATCTGGTGTCTTGGCGCCGTTCAAATTCCCCAGAAGGTACCGCGCTTTCGTGTTGATTTGCAGCGAAAATCGATCGGGGTCTTTGTCTTTCCAGGGCGCTGCGTCCTACTGATGTGAAGTTCAAGATCACGCACTGCGGGATCTGCCACACGGATCTCCATTTGATCCACAACGAGTGGGGATCGTCGAAATACCCCATGGTTCCAGGGTAAGAAAAACAAAATCCTCGGAGAAGGCAGGCACTAAAATCGTGGTGCTCGAACAGGCACGAAGTTGTGGGATTAGTCACGGAGCTCGGCCCCGGTGCCAAGAAATTCAAGGTCGGCGATCACGTTGGAGTGGGATGCATGGTCTTTTCCTGCCTGAAATGCGATCACTGCAAGCACGGAGACGAACAGTACTGCGACAAGCTCGTCTGGACGTACAACAGTGAAGAAGACGGCAAAATCACAATGGGAGGCTACTCGGGATTCCTGGTGGCCGACGAGAAGTAAATTCCTGTCGACGATGGTTGGAAAGAACAAGTTCTAAGAGTCTGAAGCGAGTGGACTGGTGTGCACAGATTCGTCGTTCGGGTTCCAGACAATCTTCCGCTGGATGCCGCAGCGCCGCTGCTATGCGCCGGCATCACGGTCTACAGCCCGATGAAACACTTCGGCATGACGCAGGCCGGGAAGAACTTTGGAGTGGTCGGGCTCGGTGGTCTCGGGCATATGGCCGTCAAGTTTGGCAAGGCTTTCGGGATGAAAGTCACGGTGATCAGCACCTCGCCCAGCAAGGAGAAGGAAGCTCGGGAAGTTTTGGGGGCTCACAACTTCATTGTCAGCAAGGACTCGGCTCAAATGAAGGTAACAAGATACCTTCTCTTGATTTTTCTCCCGAGAGCTAGAACTCAACTTTAAAGTTTTGGATTCCAGAAAGCTGCGAAGACAATGGACTACATCCTCGACACGGTGTCGGCACCGCATCCGCTGGATGCCTTGCTTGAGCTTCTAAAGATCGATGGAAAGCTCGTCATGGTGGGATTGCCGGACAAGCCCCTGGAACTTCCAGCGGGAGTGATCATCTTTGGTACGTACAAGAACTTTTCCTTTTTGTTTTCCACTTGAGCTAAGAGAATGTGGATCGACCAGGTCGTCGATCGCTGGCCGGGAGCTTCATCGGATCCATCAGAGAGACGCAGGACATGCTGGATTTCTGCGGCAAGAACAATGTCACGTCCATGATCGAGCTCGTCCCAATGGACTACGTCAACAAAGCTATGGAACGCCTCCGCAAATCGGACGTTAAGTACCGCTTCGTGTTGGACGTGGAAAAGACTTTGAAGCCATAGAAGCGATAATAAAGAGAGATTCCCAAATTAAGAGACCTTTTCGCACGAATATGCGTCGCCTAATTTTAGCAAGTTGAAGGACAGGAAAATCGCGCGGGAACGTTCAAAGATTCCCATCCTAGGGTTCATTGACAGATGAAAGAACTTTCCCCGCATAGACATCCTGTCTGGCCCGCGGATTTTGCGCACGGAATCGCCGATTGGCTCCTCGCGCAGCAGATCCAATCGCCAAATTGCCAATACCAATCCTCCCTGCTCGTCCCCAAAAAGCGTCCCTTCGATCCGGCCAATGAATTGGCGCAGCAGGGGAGCTAGGGATTTTCCCCCCGTCTCCTCCTCTCTCTCTCTCTCTTCCTCTTGTTTCCCACCACGATTCATCGCCAATCGGATTGAATGCGTCCATCGCTGATCCCCATGGCTCCTGGGAGGCATTCATATCTAGCTGCCGCCTCATCGTCTCCCCCTGTCCACCAGCAGGATACTTGTATCCCTTGTTCTTCGTCGTCAATCGCATCGTCCTCGCCTTGCTCCTCCTCCTCCTCTTCATCCTCCTCCTCTCCTCCGCCTCGGCTCATCGCCGCCGCCATGGTCAAGCCGCAATCGTCCTCAAGCGCGTCCTCCGCGATCGCAGGCCCCCAGCTCTCCGCGATCTTGCGGCCCCAGCTCAAGCGATCACGTAAAGGTTGCATGAAAGGTAAAGGCGGCCCTGAGAACGCAGCGTGCCAGTACCGTGGAGTCCGCCAGCGGGTGTGGGGGAAGTGGGTCGCCGAGATCCGGGAGCCCAACTGTGGAGCTCGCATCTGGCTGGGGACGTTTGACACCGCCGTGGAGGCTGCCAGGGCTTACGATCAAGCCGCCTTGAAGTACTTCGGCGAGAACGCGCGTCTCAATCTCCCTGATTCGCTTCCTCCATGGCCGGCTCTTGTTCCTCCTCCCACCGCCACCACGTCTCCAGCACCAGTCTCCAAGAGGGCGATCAAGCGAGGACCGGTCGATCGCAAGCTCCTCCCCCCGCCCCGCGCCGCGGGGAGCAGCTCTGGTTCCTCGATCGTCGGGAGGCCTTTGGTTTCTTCCGTGCCGCCCGCCATCGCCGACCTCGGGGAGCCGATCATGCCGATGGTGCCGATCGCGTTCAACGTTTTTGGGATCTCCTCGGCCTCCGCGGACGAGGCGCTCCTCAATCTGGCAGCGCCCACCGCCTCCTCGGCCTCGTCTATCCCCAACACCGAGCACAGCGGCAGCGACAATTCCACGCTCGCATCGCTCAACGCGTATTCCTCCACCGAAGACGACATGGAAGAGGTATGGAAGGAGCTATCCAACGATCAGATCGATGGATTCTCCCTATCTTCCTGTAGATTCAATTGATTCTTTGCTAGATTTGTCTGCAAGCACTACAAGAAGTCTGCCTGCCTACATGTACATATATATATATATATACGAACGATTGCTTGTTTTTAACTCGTGACATTTTAACTTATGATAACCTCTCTTTTCTTTGATCATCGCGTTAGATCGCGCGTCGCGGTCGCCACCATCTCCAAAATCTCGCAAAAGTCCGGCCTGTCCAGGGGATTGCTCGCCCAGCACTGGTGGATCAGGTACTTGAGCAGCGGGAAGCAATCCAGCGGCACAACCGGTGCTGGCATCGATCGCGTTGTTCTGGATCTACGCGGCGTCTCCTTTTCCTTGCCGATATTTTGATCGGCCGTTGTGTGGCACGAGACGAGCTCGCAAAGGAGCGTCCCAAAGCTGTAAACGTCCGCCTTGGGAGTAATCGCGGATTTCTCCAAATCAACCTGAATCCCACCAAACATTTTCGTCCGCATCAGTCGCGTAAAAAGCTCTGGAATTTTTAATTTTTTTTTTCGCTCCACGCTAACCAGATTCAACGGCGTCAATCAATCAATGAACGCTCACTGACTGACCTCGGGTGGCACTGGCCATGAAGTCTTGTCCTCCTCCTCGCCATCCTTAAAGCTCCTCTCGTCCTTGGTAGGCGATTTGATCGCCCTCGCGATTCTCAGGCCACCAATCACCGCGCAGCCATTGTCGTCCAGGAGAATGTTGGAGAGCTTCAAGTTGCTGCCAAGCACCAGAAGAAAAAACAAACAGAGAGAGAGAGAGAGCGCGTCAGGACTGAGGCCAACTTGACCAGATCTTTGCAGAAAGGCAAGAAAACAAAGAGCGAATCCATCCCACGCCAAGCACACACAAAAATCACACTTGCCTGTGGACGATCCCGCATTCGTGCAAGAACTGCATCCCCTCGGCGATGTCGCAGGCCATGCGCAGCACGGATCGCAGCTCGATCTTCTCGCGCCTGTCCACCAGATCGCGCAGCGACCCCCCGGAGACGAGCTTGGACACCGCCCACAAGTTCCTCCCATCGATCCAGATGCCGCGAATGGGCAAAACATTGGCGTGCGCAAACCCCGACCGCGTGCACAGCCACAGCACCTCCTCCTGGAGCTCGCGATCGCCATCCCCTGGCGGGTTGATCAGCTCCAGCGCCACAGCCTCGCCGCCAAATCTCGCGCGCGCAGTGGGTATCGCCTCCTCCTTCTCCAAGCCGCTCATCTTGGATGGATCCAGCGCCCACTGCGAGAGCTCCTCCTTGCCGCTGGCGACGTCTCCCGATACATCGATCCGGATCCTCGCGCCCGCCACCGCGTCGATGCTCAGTCGGTGTGAGACGAAAGAGATCCGGCTCTCGAGATCCATGTCCGCCGCCACCGCCGCCGCAGTGCTGGGGATCGATTTGCTTGGGTTGTGGACGAGGATCTGCTGGGATGCCGATGAAGAGGAGGATGATCCATAGAGGCCGAGCGCCAGCCTTCTCAGCCGGGATTTCTTGGCCGCCGCCTTGAAGATCTCTTGCATTCGGTCCAGGCGCATGTACTCCCTGGCGCAGTGGACCGATGCCATCCCCAGGAAGAGCGCCTTGCGGCAGTAGACGCTGGTGTGCGTCACGGGGATCGCCGCGCGCTTGAAAGCCCACGCGATCGAATGCTTGGTGATGGGGACGCCCATCGTCGCGAATGTGACCGTGAAATCGCTCTCTTGATCCTCCTCCCACGGCGCAGGAGACGCGATCGATGGCGGCGAGCTGGCCATGAAGAGGGATTCATCGCTGGCGTTGCTGGATCGAGCGGCGGCATTGGCGGCTGTGGCGGATCTTCTTTCTTGGATGATGGCGATGGCGATGGAGCCGCTGTGAGGGCTCATGCGCGCTTGCTCCACCAGGCGGATGTGCAAGAAGATCTGATCGCTCCCCAGGCCGGCTTGCGCGTAGCTGCAAAGAAACAAGGAAAGATGTCCGCTTAGCCTTCTAGATCGATCGAGCAAGAATGACGAAGAAATATTTCGAGAGGGATCTTGCGATACCTGAGTGGCAGCGATTCGAAGTGGCGCCGGATCATCGAGATGAGCCTCTCCGGCAGCTGGCTCCCCGGATGCCGCTGCATCAAGCTCTCCACGATCGCATTCCAAGCGGCCTTCTTCTCTTCGCGGCGGATCTTGATGGCGCCGCCGACGCTGCCGCCGCCGCTGTGGAGATAGGAGCACACAGATCTTTGGAGGCGCTTCCATCTGCCGCCGCCATCGCCGCTTCCGCGATTCTTGCCGCCGAGATTCGAGGCGGCGCCCGGTGACAGTAGCGGGCAATCGTCGACCGCGAAGAGCATGCGATGATCCAGCATTCCGGAATCATCCCCCCAGCTGATCTTGGCGCTGTGGCTGTGGCAGCTCCAGCAATCGACCCTGGCCATGCCGCCTCGAAATATCGCGATTGCTGGCCACCGCTGCCCGGAATTCGCCGCTATCGGAGTGCTATCGGATGGATCTGGAATGCTTTATAATCCGCGCAAGAACACAAGGAAACGATGCATTCTCGCTTTTAAAATGGCGCTCTCATGTGGAGCACTCGATCGAGCAAGAAAAAAAAGGGAGAAAACAAGGGCAATGCAATCAACGCGGTGGCATGTAACTCTCCTCGTCCGCCATGGATGGATCGATCTCGAGCGAGCAAGGCGCCAAAAATACACCGAGGCACTCACGAACGAGGAGAGAAAGAATCCGTTAAGCGAGAAAGGGAAGCCAAAAAAAATGGATCCACTGGGATTGTCAACTTCAATCCTTGCTGCCCCGCTCAGATCGCTCGCGCGCTCGCTCGCTCGTAGCGCACTGATGGTCCATTCCTCGCACACTCGGATCAGATCACGGAGAAGGGGAAGGAATCGAAGAGAATCGCGCCAGGAATTTTAGGGTTTATCCGCGCCATACGTGGCACTTGCATACGTGGCACGCTTTGCTTCCCCGAGGGAAAGAAATCCCATCCCCTGTCTCCCACACACTTGGAGGAAGATTTTTTGGCGATTGCCTCTCTCGATCGAAAGCCATTGCTCGCTCGCTCGAATCGCAAGCGCACAAGTCACTCACAAGGATCCGAGCTCTCAGCTCTCTCGATCGAGCAGCGAGCGACTATGCTATATCGATTTAATCGTTTTTGGTTATCTTCCATGATCGAGATCTCTCTCGCGCGCTCTTTCTTCCCCCTTTCGCTGCTCTTGGTTCTCGAATCCGGCCTGCGCTTCATTGATGAATGGCGTGGGAGTCCGAGCCACTGGCGTTATCGCGTCGTCACAGTTTCGCGCTGGCACAACAGGCCCGCGCAGGCCTCTGCCGCTCCCAAAATGTGTGTGGCTTTGTGTGGAGCTGTGATGTGGAGCGTGAGAGTGGTGTGTGTGTCTCCTTTAGCTTCAGCCCTGTCCTCGCTGCCCGGGAGAGATCGAGGCCTTTCTTTCCAGAAGTGTGCTAAGTCGAGTTTCTTCACTGCAATTCTTTCTGGTAGCAAATCCATCTCTATCGAATGCAAGTGCTCGCTTCCTTTCAGGAAAAAACGAAAAAAAAAAATCGATTTTGTTGCGAAGTACCATTGGCCACTGTGCAAAACGCGCCAAACCAAAACTAGTGCTGCTGCTGGCTGCTGCTGCTGCTGCTGCTAGCGAAGCGCGCGAAGCCTTTTCATCGTCCTTTTTCTCAGTCTCTAAAACTAGAGCTTGCATCAATGCTGCTGGACAATGCAAGACTTCCCACCCCTCGTACGCTATCAGTAGATTTCCGTGCCTAGATTTGCCACTGCCGGTGCGCTGCTTCCCGCTACGCAAGTATCTCCCGGGGCTTTTCCTCTCCAGGAAGTTTGGCTTCACGATCGAGCATGAAACTCATGTCACGATTGCTCACCGCTTTCTTCAGATCACAAATCCTGCGTAAAACATCATATTTCTCGAGAGTAAGAGTTACTAAGGAGTCACAAACCTGAAGAGTATATGGCTGCAATACTTCCAAGAGCTCAAGTCAGAAAAGGATATCAAACTATTTACCAGGACTGTCTGTGACAAAGTCGAGCTTCCTTCAGCTCTTGGACGAGTAACTCTGCCTAGATGGACAACTAAGTGTAAGCTGGAAATTTTTTTTTCAAAGAGCTTTTAAGTTGTTTGTGCGTATAAACATTGTAGGATTACCTTGGAGAACTTATTGAGCCAGAAGTTTTATTGGATGCTTTCGCAAGCTATTCCGTCGGAAAATCCGGCTGGAGTCGTGGAACCGACTGCCGCACTTCTTCCAGCTTGTGAAGCTCCTCCTTGAGCCTCCGGAGTGTTGGATATGGCGTCTGTGTGCAAAACATATAAGAATTTTTTTTGCCTCTTGAGATGGACGAGAAGCTTACCATATCGACCTTGTAACGCTCCGCGTTGCCGATCTGTGGGATGACAAATACATCAGCCTGGAGTGACAAGAACCAAACGAAGATCCCGTCAGTTACGAAGGACAAGTGCAAAGATTCTCTAGAATGAAAGAACATACGAGGGTGAGTGTGTCTCCAAAGCAGTATTTTCCCGATGTCTTCTTCACGATCTCCTCGAGAGCTACATGAAAATCCAAGACACTTGTGAGTTGCGGGGTGTGAAAGCAGAAAGCTCACCGTTGAAACCAATGACAATCCAGTGTTGCGCCCACTTGAGTGTCTCCTCGTCGCCAAGTTTCTCCTTGATCATATTCTGCCAAAGAGCAAGGAAGGATTCAGCCTTGCTGTGAAAAGCAGGCAAAACTTACCAGAACGCGGCCTCCATTTTGCAGAGGCTGAATATTTGACGCGATGAGATTGACAATCTTGCAAATGTAACAATCGAAACATGAGAAACAAATCGAGCTAAAACCGATAATACTTTTTACCTGGCGAATTGTCGCTCGCTGCTTCAAGTTTTTAGGCAGGAGTGGCTTCTCTGGGTATTTTTCTTCCAAATACTACGTGATAGCAATTCCACAAGAGATCACTTCCAAGAGAAGAGAAAAACAATAGCAAACCTCCACAATTGCTACAGAGTCAATCAAAAGTCCATCTTCTTCGGTTTCTAGTGCAGGCACCATACTCAAGGGATTGATCTTCGAAAACTCTGAGAATCACAAAGGATTTAAAACCCCGAATGCCACACAAAACAAACTCTACCATCGTCGAGCAGACCATTTGCGAAACCCACAGCCTGGTACTCGTATGGAATCCCTGATCAAGTAGAAAATTGCGATCACATCCAGAGGGAGAAAGAGAAAAACCTTTCAATGCGAGCGCCAGCCTCACTCGCCAAGCACAAGAGCTCCCCCAAAACGTGTAGAGCCTCATCTCCCTCCACAAAATCCTAGATTTTCGAGACGACCCGGCTTGTGCCAGCCGGTCTAGATCCGAGGTATATCCCCGCCACGTCACTCTCTAACCTCCAATGGTTGTGGCGATGGCGCTCCAGGCATCGCCGACGCAGGCCTCGAGCGTGAATGCGGTGCGCCTGGGATTCGTGGCAGGATCGTCGCCTCCCGGGAAATGTAGATTAGGGTTGGCGAGGAATCGGCAACGAGGAGCTGGGTCTCTGGTGGTGAGGGCGGCGATCTTGGAAGCCCCCGGCGTGGGCGTGGAGCGCGTCGACATGAGCGATTTCGTGAAGGAGGCCATGCCCGGAGGGATTGCCGCGCAGGACCTCTTGGGCACTGGGCGGAGGAAGCGAGCGATTGCCAGGGTTTGCCTGGTCGAAGGCACCGGACAGTATGTTATCAACAATAGGACTGCCCAGGTATGAGAATCCTCCTCTTTAGTTTGCAAGGAGGAGAAGAAGATAGAGATTGTTCTCTAGTTTGCATGGAGAAAAAGAAGATAGAGATTGTTCTTCAGAAGAAGAAGATAACCGAGCTGACAAGCTTCTCTTTTGATGGCCAGGAGTACTTGCAAGGAAATCCATTGTGGCTTTTCCACGTAAAGCTTCCACTCCGGAGCCTCGGCTTCGAAGGAAAGTACGACACCATCGTCAAAGCGCACGGTGGTGGTCTCTCGGGCCAAGCGCAGGCAATCCGGCTGGGGATCTCGCGATGCCTTCTCAAGATCAACGAGTCCCACCGCCAGCCATTGAGGAAGCTGGGATTCTTGACAAGAGACCCGCGTAAGGTGGAGAGGAAGAAGGCTGGCAAGCACAAGGCAAGGAAGTCTCCTCAGTACTCCAAGCGTTGAGACGTAAAGCAAAAGCATACCTTTCTTGGTCTCTTCCTCCCTTTGCAATGGATGGATTTGCAGCTCCAGCTTCTTGTGTGGTGCTGCTCAAGAAGAAACGCTGTTCTATAAGTTCCTCATTCTGTAACGCGCCCGGTTTGATCCGTCTCGCTGCTCGCCAGTGATTCATTGCTCGCCTCCGTGACCAGCTTGTGCTGTGGATAGAGCCGAACGAAGTGAGCACCTATCCGTGAGACATTGTGTCGAAGTATGGAGAGGAACTGCGTCTCCCAATCTCGACCTGGGATGTCTTTGTTCTCTTCGGGTGTAGCCTGACAACTCTATCGGTCAGTGTGGAAGTTTGGCTGAAAGCAAGAGTACCTGGTGAGCGGAGTTGGTTTCGGAAGGATTTTTGGCTGAAGCTAGCTCGTTGTGCATGCACCGCCAGATTATCAGCAGCAGTGTCGTCACGTCTTCGGTGTTGATTAGCGCGATTATCTCCCCACATGACGCGAGAGGTTGCGGAAGCCAGCGAGCGGACGTGACGAGCTGAATGATGTTGAAGAGCTGCATTCTGTCCTTGTCCTGGAGAAAACCAAAACGTTTAGAGCGTCGAGTGAGAGAAGGTTTTCTTCAAGTTAAGCTGACCGCGGAAGCAGTTTGCTGACGGCGAAATGCTCCATACCAGTGCGAAATAGAGTCCGCCAGTAAAGCACGGACAAACTCTGCACAGGCTTCGAGCTGTCTAGCTTGTCCGTGTTCCATGACGAGCTCGAGCACCTACAGAAGTTCAATTCTTAGCGTGGCAGAATCAAGCAAGCTCTCCAACCTTGAAAAGGAGCGGGTTTTGATGAAAGCATTCGGTGAGGAACGTGTGTCGAACAAAAGCTACATGTTTTGGAAGAACCTGGCAAAAGAGGAAAACAGTTTCACACAAATAAGATATAAACTTTGAATACACGCACCTCCTCATACTGTTCCATCGTGATAGAGATCTCATGTGGTGTTTCCAGTCGATCAACCAGCAGTTTTTCTAGGATTTCAACTGGATGGCACGGCCACGCTTCTAGCTTTTCTTGATGTCGTGCAATAGATTTTCTGAAAGATTGCTCTAAGAGACTGCAAATTTCGGTGAAAGTCGGATTTAGAGCTTCAGTTCTCTTAGAGTCGTTTCTGCTCTCCATGCTATGAGTGATACCTGCCAGGAATACCATGCTAAGAAAACACAAAAATACAAACAGACAATGTAGTCTACCTGAACCTTTACTACAATCATCCAACTGCCGCTGCTTTGAAAATATGAACTCCATCCTTCCGTAGCGATCAACATTTCCAGCCGCTAGTGCGATCGTGGTTTGAAATCCTGGCTTTGACATCAGATGCTCCACCTTTGAGATATCAACTGTAAGAAAGAGTGTTATTGATATACACCAAAACGTCCAGGTGCAAGTGAAATGCAAATGCAAGATAGTTTCATGCTGTACTCACGCACTGTTTGAAGACATTCCAAGTTGCCTCTTAATGCCAGCTTCAAAGGAGAAATTGAGTAGGATGGTCACCAGCTGCAGCAGTAGACAAGTCAAAACACATTCTATAAGATAACTTGTTCGTACCAAATTAAATAGCGCAAAGGAAAAAGAACCCAGGTGAGCTATGATTCTTCTCAAGATTGCAGCTTCTCGTAAGAAAATCCATCGGCTATCAGTAAGCGTATAGTCAGAAAAATTGTCCATCTTTTTTAGACGATAAAACAGCAATCCTAGTGCTCCCTGCACGCACACGTAAATTTACCGCAGCTTTGACCCATCACAAACCTTAAGGTGTCGAGAAAGCTCTTCAGATGACATAGTTCCTTCCATGGCAAGAGACTGAAGAACACCCAGCGTATGCAAGGAGCTTTCGTCGTTGTCAGCTCTCTGCAATAACGCTAGAATCCCCAGCCATTTTCCATTCAATGCGTCGCATAAGTTTTTCCGTGAAGACCTCCAAGCAGTTCCGACAACATGCCGGCTCCAAAAGGAAGGATTCAGAAGTTGACGGATTGCCAAAATTCGCACCAATACCTACGCAGCGGATTAGTAAGTTAGAACTTTCCAAGTGAAGAAAAGCAAGTACCTGAGCGCTATTACAGACGTGAAGCTGGTCGACAACCTTCTTAGCCCAAAGTGTGAGGATCGCAGGATCCTTGCCCATAACTCCAAGCATCTGTGTTAGCGTTACAAAGATTGCCAAAACTTCCGCATTTCCGCCGTGTGCACAAGCTTGTACCAGAAACTCAGTGGCTGCTTCATTATCGGATCCCAGTAGCGTAATCTGGCACGTCTGTACCAGAGCATCCCTCGCATAGACAGGATCCGACTGACAGCTCGCCGATGTTCTAGAAAAGATATTGTTCCAGAGTCTTTGCGTGTTCTGCACCAGACTTTGCAGGAAGGAACTGCTGACTGAATTTCCTGGAGCGTTATAACTATGAGCAACGTTCAGCTCCAAAAACTTAAGCATACCTGCTGCTTCCATCATAACAAAAGACGATAATCTCTTGTTCAACCACTCCAGTAATGCGGGATCGACTTTGCTGAGAAGCAAAACTATATCAGCAGCAACAGGCGACAGCTGCTCGAAATGCTTGATTATGAGCACGGAAAGCCACGCCCTGGTATGACATCCGTCTAGAGCAGGCTTATACTCCTATAAAATACAGTGAGAAACAAAAATAGGCAGCACGGTTAATCGCATACCAATCTGCTTGTCCAGAAGACTGGCAAAAAAACATGCCTGAAATTCGCAGCCTTCCAAAACTTTTCCAGGGACTCAAGCCCGACACTCGTCACCAGCGCGGTTGCTACGGCCGCGAGGAAGTTCGGACAGAGTGCCGACTGCACAGCCCATGCATGCATCTTGTACTGAAACTCACTCCCATCGTCATTTTGCATCAAAAAGATCACTGCCGGTACTACCAACTCTGGTACCCTGCACAGAGTGAAACTTAGTCTAGCAAAGATATGAAACCCCATACCCTCTTACCTTGAGGCAGCAAATTCAAGAATCCCTGCTTGCTTGACGTAAGGAACGATGGACGCATCCTTCGATTTGTATCCTTTCACAAGGACGTCGTGCATAAGTGACTGGAGAAAATTTTCTGGCGCCGCGGCTGTGAGATACGCCAGCAGCCAATCGAGCTCCGGGAGCTCGATCAAATTCTCGTCACGGCTTGTCGGATTGGAGCACAAGACCTCTCTAACCATCACCCAATGTAACCATAGATAGTTAACGCTGCCGTCAGCACCTCCTTCTTCTGGAGACTGATCTAGGCTCAAGAGGAGACACTGGCTGACAAAGGCAACCAAGGCTGTGGCGTCCAACGATCGCATATTGGATGAAACACGCTCGGCCATCCAGTTTCCAATCTCGCCACACTCCACCATCTTGAGAAATCCCTGCAAACTCCACCTAGAGGTAGAATCCAGCCTCGGAATCTTGCTGCTTGGATTAGCCAGAGGGGACTCCGAGACTCTCCTCTTGCCGCTGCTGCTACTCGAAGCCTCATAACCAGCCGCATTCTCGACGGCTTCACGCGATTCCACCCTGCCACTGCCGCTGCACTGAATTCGAGCCAGCATTTGCATACCCCATCGCAGCGCCTCGCGCGTCGCCCGTGGATCGGTGGCATCTAGTTCCAGCGCCTCGAGTCGCGCCTGGCATTGCGACCCAATTTCTCCCTCCTCCTCCATAAACCCTAGAAAGAATATTCTCCAACCCGATAACAAAGTTACTCTTTTCAAACGCCATGCCACGTCATCAATCCGGCGGCATCGTCTGGACCAACGGCTCTTTTGCGTACGGACTGAGGGCACGTGGCGCCGCGCGAGTGGCTCCCGCTCGCGCTTGTCCGCGCCCGTATGGGGGAATGCGAGGCGTCTTGGAGCCCAAAAAAAGAAAAAAGAAGTCGTAGGTGTTAGCTCGCTCTACTGTGTTGTTATTTTGCGCTGGCTATGGCAGCTTTGTTTTTACCTCTCCGCTTTAGGGCTCCTCGCGCGCGTCCTCCTAGGGCTTAGCTTCTCCCGCGGCGATGGTGTGAAACGGTGCCGCATTGGAGCTTCAGAGGCAATGCGGGTGAAATGCCGGGGGCGCCGTGAGATTGGTACGTGTTTTCTCGAGCTCCACTGGAAGCAGGGATTTCGAAGAGCGGAGCAGGGATTTTGACGAGATCGTCAGCTCCGGGGCGCTGGAATCTGGCACCTTTACGGCAGAAAGCAAGGGAAGTGGGAGGAGGAGCTAAGATGATGGAGGGCGGGCAGAGAGGCGCCCTAGTGGTGTTTAGCAGCTCGCCATCGCCGCTCCCATCGCTGCAGCAGTGCTTGTCGCCGCTGCCACTCGACGCCAAGCTTGGAACTCCGGACGCCAGCGCCACGAACTTCCAGCCCTGTTCGGTGGCTCTCGCCCCGCCGCCGCTGCCAGCGCCGACTTTTCCATTCGCTCTCGCGGATTCCAAGTCCCTGGGAGCAGCGCCGCTCGCGATGGAGCCACCGCTGGTCGCGCTCAACGATCCAGCGGTGGCGGGCGGCGTTGGGAATGGCAGCGCCACCGTGACCGAGGCGGAGATGGAAGTGGAGGAGGATAAGAAGCAGCGGGACAGGGAGCACAAGAAAAGATCGAAGAACTGGACGAGGCCCGAGACGCTCAAGCTCATCCGGCTGAGGACGGAGCTGGAGCCGCGGTTTGCGAGGACGGGAAGGAAGACGGAGCTGTGGGACGAGATCGCGGAGTCGCTCCAGAGGGAGCGATTCTGCCGGGACGCGCAGCAGTGCCGGGACAAGTGGGAGAAGCTCACCGCCGGGTACAAGGAAGTCCGGGACGGTGTCAAGGAGAGGGAAGATAATCCTTTCTACGACGAGCTCTACCCGCTTCTCTCCGGGAAGCTCATCAAGAAGGCCGCCAGCACCACTGGCAAGGAAAAAGAGATTTTTGGGATGGACAGTGGTGGCGAGGCTCAGCTTCCCGAAGGTGGCGGTGGTGGTGGCGGCGGTGGTGTCTTGTTTAAAGATGTGCTCGACTTTGAGTCGGGGTCGAGGGGCGGAGACAAGGCCACGACCAGGGACGAGGAGGAGGAAGACTTGGAAGGGAGGCCTCCGACTGCGAAGAAGCGGCGGAGGGTGCCAAACAAGTATGTCGCGGTGACGGACCTGCTAGCGGTGCAAAGCCTGCTCGAGACGGTCCTGGCGAGGCAGCAGAGATTCTTCCGGGACGTGCTCGAGGCGATGGAGCGGAAGGAGCAGCAGCGCGAGCAGCTCCGGCTGGAGAAGGAGGAGAAGTGGCGGGCCGAGGAGAGAGCCCAGCGGCTCGTCTTTAACAACGCGATGGTGGCGCTCACGCAGAAGCTCGTTGGGGAGAGGCTGGGTGTGCCGTCGGAGAGCCTGATGGTGTTCCCGCAAAGCCCCGACGGTGGCGGAGCTCATCAAGGCGGCGGCGGCAGTGGCGGGGGCCCGAAGAAGCGGAGCAAGAACTGGAAGCGGACCGAGGTTCTCCAGCTGATCAAGCTCCGGGGGGAGATGGAGAACAAGTTCACCAAGAGCACCCGGAGAGCCGCGCTGTGGGACGAGGTGGCCGACTTGCTCAAGGCGCAGGGGATCAAGCGGGACGGGAAGCAGTGCCGCGAGAAGTGGGACAAGCTCATGGCCGAGTACAAGGACGTTGCCGACGGCAAGCGCGAGCGAGGAGAGAGCCACTACTTTGCGGAGCTGACGGCCATCGTCACCAAGCCACCGGAAGACTTTGCTGGTGGGAAGAACGTAACGTGAGAGAGCTTCCACCGCCACCAAAGTTTTGTAAGTAAAGTATACCATCACTCTCCTCCAGCGACACACCGAGCTTGACGAAGGGATTTCTTCACAGCAGCAGCTCTCGAGCTCGAGGATGATCAACACTGCCCAGGGACAGGCCGCCATTCGGATTGTACAGAGAAAGAGAATGGCGGCCGCGGGCGAGATAGCTTACTTGACAGGGGTGCGAGTAAACGTGACACAGCACCCTTTTGATTGATCGAGCTCTTCTGTGCTTCACTTGGAACTTTTGTTGCTTATATTTATTTTTGATGAAGCTTCACTTTTGATGAGAGGCTGCAAGCATCCATCGGATCAGTCAATGGTGTGTAGGAAATCCTATTTGATACTTTGTGGGTGAGCGTTTGTTTAGTACTCCGTTTCGAGCAACCCGTCGATCAATCCAAATTCCATAGCCTGTACGTTTGATTGAAGCGTCAGCGCAGGAAAGTACAAAAGACTTGGCTACCTCGGCTGCCGAGAAAAAATGGTCACGCTCTGTGTATGTTTGGACTATCTCCAGTGGCTGCCCAGTGAAAGCCGCGTACATCTTATCGATTTTCTGGAGCCAAAAGACAAACGCTTGAGATTACGAGCAAAAGAACTACAAGCAGAGTTCTTACATCTCGTGATGCTACCACTTCATTCACTTGCCTTCTCACATCCTCCATCGTTCCCTGATCAAGAAAAGAAAGACTTTTCGAGTATCCATCTTTAAAACAATTGCTACTTACACCACAGCCTCCTTGAGGTTGATGGATCATGACTCTGGAGTTTGGCATCGCAAAACGCAAGCCTTTCGTTCCACCGGCTAGAATCAAAGCTCCTTGACTTGCGGCCATGCCGAAGCACACAGTGCTCACTCTTGGTTTGATCTACACAAGAAGAAAACCATGTCTCAAAATCCTGGCAAACAAGTATTCTCTTCCTACCCAAGACATGCAATCGTAGATGGCAAGAACGGAGTAAGTGCTTCCTCCAGGACAATTGATATAGAGCTAGACAAACCGAGAAAAACAAACTAAGTTTAAGAACAAGCGAAGAACAGAAGAAAGAAAAAAAGATATGAGTAAACCTGGATATCTTTTTCTTCGTCGATGGCAGCAAGCATCACGAGCTGCGAGATGACGCGCTGGGCTACTTGCGAATTAATCGGTTGGCCGATGAAGATAATCCTACTGCGAAGCATGATGCTCGTAAGGTCGGCGATTCCTGCTGGAGTAATCACGGCTGGAGCCATTGGCGGAGCCCCTTTCTTTGCTGCCCTGATTGTATTCTCCTCACTGCCCTGTGCACCACTGAGAATCGATCGAAAATATTTCGATGCGTACCTTGAGGAATGGAAGATCGTAGCTCCTCGCCGGGGTAGCGGCTCTCATCCCGGGCGATGCCAATGCGTGAAGAAGAGCCGGCGATGGAGGCGGCGGAGTGATTGCCGAGCCCTGAATCGCGCATTCTCTCCTCCGGAACCTGACGAGGCCTGATCTACAGCTCTGGAATCCATGCCCGCGCCAGCTCTTGCCCGGCGAGCACAGCGCCTCCACGCCGCTAGCGCCTGGGGCTAGAGACATCGTCGCCATAGCCAAAAATCCGTTAAGACCGTTAGATGGCCTGGATCTGACGGCCGAGGTAGAGCTACGATGAGTGCTCTCTGGCCGTTAAAGTTGACCGCCAGGATTTGTCCATTTGCCTCTCAGGAGTAGGGTGTGTTATTTTGTGCGTGAGTGGATGATTCTCCTCCGGCATGATGGATGATCCGCCGGCGGCGTCGTCTAACACCAAGCGCTTCCCCGCCGGCATTGGATCGATGCCCTGGGTCCAATCGCTCAAGAAATATGTGGGATCCGGCGCGGGTCTGGGCTCCGAGGCGCTCATGGGTAAGTTTCTTTCTCGAATCGATGCTCCAATGTAGCTTAGTGTTTATGGTGTAGAGCTCGAGACGAAGAGAATTCTTCTCGACGGGTACAAGGAGCAGCAGCAAAGAACTCTACAGAAGGGAACCATTCCAAGTTTTTACAAAAGGGTACTTTGCTGCTCTTTGACGAAAGAGGAACACTGTTATCATTTTTCTTGTTCTTGTGTAGAAACCTTCTGAGGGATCGATTGGTGCCAAAGTCCAGCATTTGGCGAGATTCAGGTTTCTGAAGGTCTTTGAAAGGTTTTTGATTTCATCTTGAGGATTTTTTCTCTGAAGTGGTATTGTTTTTTGAGGTGTTCAGAAGCAAGCAGAGATGCTGTTAAATGCTGATGATCTCGATGCTCTGTGGGTTTGTTTACGCGAGAACTGTGTCATTGACGATTCCACTGGAACTGAAAAGGTAAGATGATTTCGTCTCTTGTTTCTTTCGTGTTTTGTGCAGCTGAAAGTTTGTCTTGTAGATGAATTACGAGGATTTTTGTCACATTGCATCCCTATGTAACGATCAAATCGGACCAAAGTGCCGACGGTTCTTCTCGCCATCAAACTTCATGAAGTTTGAGAAGGATGAATACGGTCGAATTGCCATTCTACCGTTCTACTTGTATGTTATGCGAACTGTAAGTGTCTGTAGACCTGCTAGTGGATTATCTTTGTTCGTGTTGTTTAGACTTCTAACTAAGGAAATTATGCAGGTATCTTTGACACAAGCGAGGATTGATATGAGTGAGCTTGATGAAGATGGAGACGGGCTTTTGCAGCCACCGGTAATAGTTCCACACTTAATGCTCGAGCCTTGTTTAATCTTGACACATTTGCCAGGAAATGGAGGCATATATTAGAGGACTTTTTCCTAATTTGGCTCAACTTCGAGATATCCCGGTTCCATTCTTGTCTATGTATTGCCGAATCGCTGCGCGTAAATTTTCGTTTTTCTGTGATCCTCATCGTAGAGGTTCGTTTATTCGTTTAGATATATATATGCTCTGACGAATCGTTTGTGCAGGAAAACTATGTATAAAAAAAATACTTCTAAGTAACTGTCTAGCTGAACTCATGGAACTACATCGGGTATGCATTTTTCTGTTGTTTCCTGGATTTGTATTAGACATGGCTTGCGTTTTAGGAAAACGAAGAGGAAGTTTCCGAAGGAGAACATACAGAAAACTGGTTTTCTCTTGGCAGTGCTCAACGGATTTGTGGTGAGTGCATCTCTACTCTTTCTTTTTTATTTGTATCAACAGTCCTTTAACTTTGTAAAATTTGTAGATGTCTTTCTCGCGCTGGACAAAGATATGAACGGTACATTGAGCAAGCAGGAGCTTCAAGACTATGCCGATGGCACATACACTACAATATTTATTGAACGAGGTAAGGTCATGAGTGTTTCTTCTACTGCTCGCTGACATCACTATTGAGTCCAGTCTTTGATGAACACGTCAGAAGAGGAAAAGGAGGTGGTGGGAAAGCTCGAGAAATGGACTTCGACAGCTTTCTGGACTTCGTCCTTTCTCTAGAAAACAGAGACACCCCGGAGGGCCTCACTTATCTCTTCCGGTGCCTTGATCTCCAAAACCGAGGATTTCTTTCAACGGGTGACGTACACACTCTCTTCAGGTTCGCCTCTCTTACTAACTCAATGGAAGAAAAGAAGGGTGAAAGTCCTAGCTTTGGCTTCCACTTGATATGCTCTTCCGAGATTCGACAGGAAGAGTTTTTCCTGCCTGCGCACTCGAGACGCTGTGCTGCAAGCCTCGAATCTTCCGTACATTACTGGCTGTTCGTCACTGCTCTAAATGCGCCTTTCTCCTTACAGGGACGTGCACAAGAAATGGATCGAAGGTGGAAACTACGACCTGTGCATCGATGATGTGAAAGACGAGATCTGGGACATGGTGAAGCCGAAAGATCCTCTCAAGGTCACACTCGCCGACCTCTTGGCATGCCGGCAAGGAGGCACTGTAGCCAGCATGCTGGTGGACGTGAGAGGCTTCTGGGCTCACGACAACAGGGAAAACTTGCTACAGGACGAGGAAGAGACTGAAGAGGAAGAGTAGGAAGATGGTTGACAGAAGCGGGCAGCGACTGTTGTAAGTTTATCCGATTGCTTTTGGTTGCTTGCTCTGCGATAGCTAGAAACTGGAGGCTTGATCGATTATTTTACTACTAATACATTTATCTTTTAGTGTACCACATCAAATACGGAAAGCCACAGACAGAGATATCATCCTTGCATGCTAAGAACAGGGCTTCGTCCTTACGGTTGTTGCCATTCAGTTGATGCGGTTTACAATCTTTTTCCGCCTCGAATCACTCGTGAGCACATGGAACGGGACAAGCCAAGTCAATTTCGTGGTACTTATGCTTCAAAGTTTCTGATCTTAACGCTTTGGCTCCAGTTTTTCCAGGAATTCCAACCAGGCTCGCTCGCTCGCTGTTCACAATCTGGAAAGCCAATGTGCCGGACAGATCGAAATAAATGAAACGCTGCCGAAAAGCTTGGAGCGAGCAACGAACTTCACTTTCTCTCTGGTAAGCAGCGTAAAGTTCTTTCCGGTCACTATCGTCAGCAAAGCAGTAGCAGTAGCTAGCGGGCGATCTGATCAGCGCTGAGAGTAGCAGGGGCGATTCATCGATTGCTCGCAAAGTGCTCGCTTGCGACAGCGCACCACTAATCTCTGCTTGAGCTGCCAAACAGGAAAAGAAAGAGAAGAAGAAGAAGAAGAAGAAAAGATTAAAAGTGACGAGCAAAGTGCTTTGCTTGACATCCCAGCAACCGGTCTCTCGAAGAAATAAAAAATGCGTGAGTTTGCCCAGTTCTTCGATTTAATCTATCCTCGTGATTTCTCGAAGAACATGTTTCGTATGACCTGGCTAGCTTTGAGTTTAGCGCGCCTCCAAATCTAGCGGCGTTGCTAGTTTGCCCAACCTCGCCATTAAATGTTGTAACGTTAAAAGTGAGTAGCGAGTGGGAGTATTAAAAAGCCCTTTAGCACGAAAGCTGGAGGTTTCGCCAAGTGTGGCTGGCTGGCATTCACAAGCAAATTTATTTTTTTTTCTTCCCCTTCTCTTTGGCTATGGGCGAGAAAGTGATGAATGTAGCAGCAGGGGAGGCAGGGCACACGCGGGCGATTGATGCATCGCATTGGCATTGGCAGTGATCAATCGTCCCAGCTACACAAGGAATCAAGAGAAAAGAATCGCAGCGCAACGGGACGGGAGAAGCAGCGATTGGGAGAGCTAGCTCTCGGATTTGGGGGTTTGTGGGTGCTCGATTCGATCGGTCTGTTCGATCCGCGGGGACGCGAGCTCGCTGGGCGCACGACCCACGAGATCTTTGCTCGCAATGCGGCCGCCCAATGGGCTAGATCGACCCGGAGTAGCAGTAGCAAGCCAGTAGCTCAGTAGTAGTAGCTCTCTCCAGAGGAGGAAGAACAAGGTGGAATAGGAAAGCTCCCAGGAGAGCTCGCGCGAGGAGGTTCTTCACACTCCCTCTCGCTGTCGCTCGCTCGCTTGCTCACACAGAGATTGCTCGCTCGCGCGTGCCTGGAGCTGCGAAGTAGCTCAACGGAAGCTGTGAGGAGGTGGATTGGAGCTTTCATCGCTCGTCGCGCTCGCCCGACCACATTAGATGTGTGTGTGACTCGCTCACTGGCCATTTGGTGGCCGGTTCCTTTCTTCTTTCTTTTCTCTTTCTTCTTCTTCTCTTCCCCGACGCCATAGTTTGGATAAGCCGATAGATAGCTCGGGATTTATGGTATTTTCACTCCAATCCGGATCTCACTCGAGAGCACCATGATCGGCCTAAGGTTTGTGGTTTCTTCCTTTCCTTTTGCGAGAGAACGAGATTTTTAGCTTGCCTGCGCTTTCTTCTCCATAGCCTAGCTCAAGTTCTTTTTTTTTTTCCGGATGGATCAGATGGCTGTCAACAAGCTAAATAAGCAGCAAGAAGTTCTGGATGTCTGCGTAGACACTACCAAGGTTCTTTGCGTTTTGCTCAATCTCCATCAACCTTTCCTTTGATCTCACGCGAGAAAAAATAAATTCTTCCAGGAGATTCCGGCTGGGCGAGTTCTTCGCAAGGCGACGCTGGTATGGAAGCTGCTGGTGCTGCTCCTCGTCGCCGGCTGCGGCGTTTACATGTGTTTGATCGGCGTGGATCGAAGAACCACGTACGATCGGCTCAGCCTCGATCCAATCCAGCAGGTCTGGCGGCGAGAGAATCTCTGCCCGAGGTTGTCGCGAGCCAAGTTCCCGCAACACTACCCCCAGCCAAGAACTTACTCGAGGTTCCAGAAATCTTGGAAAGGATCTCTAGCTAGTTTCTAACAAAGGTGGTCGAAACTTTTTTTCTTCCAGGAAGGAATGCAGGTGCGTGCCAGTCCATTTCTTCGTCCTCCTCTCGATGCAGCGATCCGGCAGTGGATGGTTTGAGACGCTCCTCAACAGCCATCCAAACGTGAGCTCTCACGGCGAGATCTTCTCCATCGGCCGGCGGCGCGCAAACTTTAGCACGATCAAGCAAACACTCGACGAGGTCTACAATCTGGAATGGTATTCCAGCGCTGCCAAGAACGAGTGCACGGCCGCGGTGGGATTCAAGTGGATGCTCAACCAAGTAGGTGAAAAAAGGTCTCTTTTCTTGCGTGATTCTTTCGTTTTTTCGCCATCCAGGGAGCTCTAGCACACGGTGACCAAGTCGCCGATTACTTCCGCTCGCGCGGCGTCTCCGTGGTTTTCCTCCAGAGAAGAAACTATCTCAAGCGATTGATCTCGGTCATGGGAAACGCTTACGATCGAGCAAAGCCGCTCAATGGAACGCACGTCGCTCACGTCCACTCGCGAGAAGAGGTAAGCGATCAATCAGTCTCTTCCACACCTCTATACCATCTCTTTTGCTCCAGGCCGAGCTCTTGGCTTCGTTCAAGCCCACCATCGACGTCGCAAACTTGCTCCAAAACCTCCGCCGCGTCCAAAACATGTCCGACGAGACGCTCCGGATCTTCGGCACGACACGCTTGACAGCGCTCTACTACGAAGATCTCGTAAAAAATCCTCGAAAGGTGATGGTTGATCTTGAGCTTTTCAGCTAAAAGAACCGCTTTTTTTCCAGAGGGTGGACGTAGTTCTTCGATTCCTGGGAGTGCCACGCCAAGATCTCCGCAGCAAGCACGTAAAGATCCACACGAGACCCCTCCGCGACTCCATCACAAACTGGGACGACGTCTACAGGGCTCTCAACGGCACCGAGTTTGAGAGCCTTCTTCACGATCGCGACTACTTGTGATAGTGGAGGAAACCAAGACCATCTTGACGGAGTGTACATACAAGAGCTAGGCACGATCGATTCAACCTGGAATTCTTCTCCTCTTTTTTTTTTTGTTTGAAGCGTGTGTTTTTGTCAAGAACAATCGTTGACAATCGAAAGATTTCTTGTGTAAAGAATTTGAGTTATAGTAACACAAGCCTTTGTACAGTAAGGTGTCCTTATTGCACACGAAAAATGGTGCCTACAAGGATTTACACTAACGAGGAGCGAGCTAGCGAGCGAGAGAGAATGGCGAGCGAACCTGAGATCCATCCATGTTTTGATCGGCTCCTGGCACTGGCACTGGCTGCGCTGTGAAGGCGAAGTTGGTCGGGTTCAATCCAGCGGAAAACGCGAAACCAGCCGGCGACGTGGCTTCCAAAATCGGGAGTGATCCTCCCACTGCCGCTGTGATGGACGATCCGAATGCTTGGCCTCCGGGTTGCGACGTAAAGCAGTTGCCGAAGATCTCCTTCTCAAGCTGCTGGAGCTGCTGCTCCACTTCTGCGAGGAGAAACACTATAGTAAAGAAAGGAGCTTTTAAGGCTACGCACGACTTACCGGGGTTGAGCTTCACTGAAGGGCTCCTTTCCTTGACCCATTCGTAGCTTTGAGACAGTCTCCAGCCTTTGTGTCGCATCAAATACGCTATAACAACTGCCGGGGATCTGAAAAGGAAGACGAGAGTCTTATATCCATACTGTTTGATCCAAAAAGGATCACTCCACTATATGACCAACCTGCTTTGTCCGGACATACAATGGACGAGAACCTTCGCGTTGTTTTGCCGGCTTTTCTCTACACACAATCCATCTTCCGATAGAACCACGCAAACGAAAGAAAAGAAAAGTTACCGATGAAATCCAGGCACTCTTCCAGCGGTAATCTCTCCTCTTGTATGCAGTGATAAGTGAAAGAATTCTTGTAGAGATTCTGGCATCTCGCTACAGTCTAAGACAAACACCACAGTATGAGGATACCCTAGAAAGGAGGAGAGGAGAGATCTTACATTCAAGATGTGCGTAATTCCCTGCGCCTTGAGGAGCTCCGCCCTGGAGGCATTGTCGTAGCTGCCGAGAAACAGGAAAGGCAAAATCTCCGCCGAGAAGGCGCTCTGCTGCGAACACTTCTCCTCGCCCGCCGTCCGGCGATGGCCACACACGCCGCAGGGCTCGCCATCCTCGAATTTGTGGTAGTGATTGCAGATGAAGCACGGATTCTCCCTCTCCCGCTTCCTCATGGCGCTCGCTCTCGCAAAGACGAGAGAAAGGACTATAAGAACCCTAATCAAAACCCAGAGCGGTTGGCTTGAAATGAGCCAATAAGTCTTTGCCACATCAGCGGCAAAGTTGAAAGGGCTGCCACGTCGGCGGCCAAAGGGTTTTTACTTGGGCACTTCTTTGGTAGCAAGGCTCTCCCGCGCTGCTTGGGGCGATGCCGCGCGAGATCATCACGCTCCAGGTGGGGCAATGTGGGAACCAGATCGGCATGGAGTTTTGGAAGCAGCTCTGCCTGGAGCACGGCATCAACAGCGATGGCATCCTGGAGGATTTCGCGACTCAGGTCAGCTGCGCTCTCTTTCTCGCGATCTTTAAGGTTTTAGGTCTTGAGGGATCGATTGATTCGTCGCGGCAGGGCGGCGACCGGAAGGATGTGTTCTTCTACCAGGCCGATGACGAGCACTACATTCCCCGGGCGCTGCTTTTGGATTTGGAGCCCCGGGTGATCAACGGCATCCAAAACAGTGAATATCGAAATCTCTACAACCATGAGAACATCTTTGTGGCTGATCATGGAGGCGGTGCTGGGAATAACTGGGCGAGTGGCTATCACCAGGTATGAACTTTCTCTTGTTTTTTTTCTTCTTCTTTCTTTGGTTCTCATCTGGGAAAAAAATGCAGGGTGAGCAAGTTGAGGAAGATATCATGGATATGATCGACCGAGAGGCTGACGGCAGTGACAGTCTCGAAGGATTTGTTTTGTGTCACTCAATCGCCGGAGGAACAGGATCAGGTAGATTTTTCTATCCGTTTGTCTTAGAAAGCATGACCTCACTTGTTTCTAGAGCTATAGATCTCTTTTGTCTGCCTGCTTAGAGCCAATGTGCTCACGTTGCTTTGGTTTGGTTTTCTCAGGAATGGGATCTTATCTACTGGAAGCCCTGAATGACCGATACAGCAAGAAACTCGTGCAGACTTACAGTGTGTTTCCAAACCAAATGGAGACAAGCGATGTGGTTGTCCAGCCATACAACTCACTGCTGACACTGAAGCGGTTGACGCTCAACGCCGATTGTGTTGTTGTCCTGGACAACACTGCGTTGAACAGAATTGCGGTGGATCGTCTTCACATTCCGAACCCGACTTTTGCACAGACGAATTCCTTGGTGTCGACAGTGATGTCTGCGAGCACGACCACGCTGCGATATCCCGGCTATATGAACAACGATCTCGTTGGGCTTGTTGCCTCGTTGATCCCTACGCCTCGGTGCCACTTTCTCATGACCGGATACACGCCTTTGACAGTCGAGCGTCAGGTAACGTTTTCACTATTCCTATACAAGTAGAAGGCTTATATCATAAAGTCTTTTCCCAGGCAAACGCCATCCGAAAAACCACGGTGCTTGATGTCATGAGAAGGCTGCTACAGGTAAACAATATCTATGTTCTTTTTGTCATTCCAGATTGCGTTGTGGTGAATACTGTAGGCAAAAAACATCATGGTTTCATCTTATGCCAGAACCAAAGAAGCAAGTCAAGCAAAATACATCTCGATCCTTAATATCATTCAAGGCGAAGTCGATCCCACACAGGTTTGCGTATTTTGTTTATATTCTTCTTGACGTTTGATTTTTCAAAATACGTGCACAGGTGCACAAAAGTCTGCAGCGAATTCGCGAGAGAAAGCTTGCCAATTTCATCGAATGGGGACCAGCAAGTATACAGGTTAGATTTCACTTTCTACATTTGTAGGTGACAAAGCGAAAGATACTGAATGGTTTTTTCTTCTCGTCTGCTCAGGTTGCACTCTCGAGGAAGTCGCCTTACATTCAAACCGCGCATAGGGTGAGCTGTGAAAGCGCCAGAAAACCATTATCTGACGTATCGTATCGTATCGTTTTTGTGTAAGGTGAGCGGGCTCATGCTGGCAAGCCACACAAGCATTCGCCATCTGTTCAGCAAGTGTATCAGCCAGTACGAGAAACTCAGGAAGAAGCAGGCTTTCTTGGACAATTACCGCAAGTTTCCCATGTTTGCCGTAAGCTCTAGATCATCCGTTCATCCTCGTTTCTAAAGTCTCGCGCTTGCCAGGACAATGACTTAACCGAGTTCGATGAGTCAAGAGAAATCGTACAGAGCCTGGTGGACGAATACAAAGCATGCGAATCCGCCGATTACATCAAGTGGGGCATCGAGGTACGCTAAACTTTTTCCATCTCACCTACAAGCTTAGCAAACACTCTTCTTGACCAGGAGCGCAACAAGTCCACTGGCTTGGACGGCCCCATGACTGGAACTTTAGAGTCTAGAATCGCCGCAATCTGACCAGCGCAGCGGTCGTGTTTGTACACTCGCCACTTTCCTGTGCAGTTGAGTTTTCATACGATTTCCAGGTATTCTTCCTTCTCTCGCAGACGAACGCGTCAAAGCATCGCGTTTGTGTTAACTTAAAACGCGAGTGAGCGGCCAATTGTCCTGTAATCACACTGTGGAGGTGGCGTTTTTTCGTCGCTGTTCTATTCGTTGTCTCGAAAGATGCCAGTGACTCGAAGCTAACGCGAAAAGAACTCCGGAACTTACAACGTGCGCATTGGCCGCTCGAATATGAAAGAAGAATTCCAACAAACGTGGAACCCAGTTAGACCAAATGCGCGTATATGCTGACCCGCGGCAATGAATCCGCGCCGTCCGTTGCCGCGTGGCGCGTATATGAGCCGTCCGGGGGCCCTTTCTGGCCAAGTCGCGTAGATCGCAGCCGTCCGGTGGCCCTTTCTGGCCAAGTCGCGTAGATCGCAGCCGTCCGCGCCCGCCTTTTGATCTGGGCCATCGGTGCCTGGTATAAAAGGGCGAGGGCAATGGCCAATTCATCAGTTCAGCGTCTTCCACTGGTAGATGAGTAAGGAGGCCTGTCGAATGCGATTTGGGATCCGGTGCTCCAGCATCTCTTTGCGGAGCCTCCAATCCTCGTTCCTCTTCAACGCGTCGCTCAAGCAGCAGATCGGCTTCGCGCATCACCACCTGGCGATCGAGCCCCCTGAAGCGGGGATCTCCTCGGCGATCTTGGAACCGCACTAGATCGGCCGATCGATCAGCGTCGAAATATCGCTGATTCTTCTTGATTCTTGGAAGGATCCACGCTCCACATTGAAATATCAGCAAGCGATGGAGTGGAAGTCGTTCTTGGAGGGCGGCGTGGCGTCGATCGTCGCGGGATCGCTGACGCATCCCCTGGATCTCATCAAGGTTCGAATGCAACTCCAAGTGGAGCCGATTCCCGTGGCCCAGGTCCATCAATCCCTGGCATTCGCGGGCGGGCACACGGCATCGATCGCGGCGGCGGCGCCAAGAACAGCGGGGCCGATCGCGGTTGGGATTAGGGTTGTCCAGACGGAGGGCGCGCGAGCTCTCTTTTCGGGCGTCTCGGCGGCGGTTCTTCGACAGACTCTCTACTCCACCACGCGCCTGGGGCTGTACGATGTGATGAAGAAGAAGTGGCAGGAGCCGGATGGGAGCTTGCCACTGCCCAAGAAGATCGGGGCGGGCCTGGTTGCTGGGGCGATCGGCGCGGCGGTGGGGAATCCAGCCGACGTCGCCATGGTCCGGATGCAAGCCGATGGGCGATTGCCCCTGGCGCAACGGAGGAACTACGCTGGCGTCGGCGACGCGCTCTTCCGGATGGCGCGCCAGGAAGGGATCAAGGCGCTGTGGACTGGATCGGGGCCGACTGTGCAGAGGGCGATGATCGTCACGGCGGCGCAGCTCGCGACTTACGATCAGACCAAGGAGGCGCTCCTCCGCAACCGCGTGACCAGGGATGGGTTTGGCACCCACGTCGCGGCCAGCTTCTCGGCGGGCTTCGTGGCGTCGGTGGCTTCCAACCCGATCGACGTGATCAAGACGAGGATCATGAATATGAGCGTCCAGGCCGGGGAGGAGGCGCCCTACAAGGGGACGCTGGATTGCGCGGTGAAGACGATCAAGGCCGAGGGGCCGATGGCGCTCTACAAGGGATTCGTGCCCACGGTGTCGCGCCAGGGGCCATTTGCGGTGGTGCTGTTCGTGACGCTGGAGCAAATGCGATCGCTCCTCAAGAACGTTTGATCCAGCTCTCGATTCTTGAGATGGATCACTCCTGATTGTTTGGAGTTCCTTTTGATTATGACGAAGAAAATAAAGAACTAGAAGTGAATCTAACAGTGTTGTTGTATAGCGCTAGGCACCGACAAGCAAAGCTCCTTGGCTTGGAAGCTAATTGTCCGAATAGAAAACCTCTATTGATATTTTGAGTGAAATCCCACCGTCCGGAGCGTGGCCGTCCACGTATCGCGGTCGTTGCGAGGTAGATCGCTTTCACGCAACGACTTTCACATGACTACCTCACAAAGATCGTTAAAAGTATACAGTCGAGCTAATGATTTTTCACTAGGGATGCCACGTGGACTGGTCCTCCACCAACCAGGTAAATGCTGGCGGTGCCAGCTCGTCTATCAGGAGGGCCTTGATTACATGGCCAGCTCAGCAACAAGGAATGCTCGCTATGGTGGGTGTTGCTTTCGTTTTGTTAGGGTTCTTGAGGCCGCGAGGAGGAAGGGCGCAGCTATGGTGCTGCTAGGGTTCCACGATTCCGAGCAAGGTGGGTCTCTGTTCTTGGAGGGGAGGAGGTAGCGAAGACGGCATTCCAGGCTGCCACATTCGCCGTGGTCTGGAATCGCTAGAAAGATTTCGTGGATTTTGGTGCGCTCTAGCTCCCCGCTTCTCTCCTCTTGCATTGCGGTGCTGCGCTCGTCACAATGCCGTCGAGCCCGAATTATAGCGTCCGGGCGCGCAAGGTTGAGAAGATTTTCAAGCAGTTTGATGGCAACGGCGATGGCCGGCTCAATCGCGACGAGATGGCAGCGCTGGTGATTGCTGTGAATCCCCGGGTGAAATTCAGCGATGAGCAGATCAGAGCTATCCTGGACGAGGTGTTTCGGACCTATGGAGAGTTCATCGATGGCAAGAAGGGGCTCACTTTCGACGGGCTCTTGAGGACTTACGACGATGGCGCCGGCGACGTGGACAGGGATTTCGATGCGCTGGGCTTGCAGCTGGAGAAAGACGATGGTGCTGGAGCTGGGACGGATGTGGAGAGCGTGGGAGACGAGAGCAGGAGTAGCGAGCGAACGGGGCTATCAAAGGCTGGTGGCGTGGTCTCGATCATGGACGAGAGACCGGAGGCTGCAAGCACCAAACGCAGGCAGAATGTAGGTGCTTGGGCGGCTTCACCCAACAATGGGATTGTCTACGACGATACGTGGAGACTCGTGGAGGATCTGGAAATTCTGCTTCGACGAGCCGAGGCCAAGATCGAGGCACGGAGGAAAGCGAAGCTGAGCAGGAAGAAATCGTCGTCGGCTAATGGTGTGGATGTCTCCGGCCAGCTTGCGGGTGGTGACGAAGTCGTGAGAAGAACCATGCACGACCTCGGGACGGAGTCATCGGTTTACCAAAAGGCTCTGGGAGATCTTCGCCAGAAAGCTGATGCTTCGAGAACGCAGGACGAGGCGTTTGATGCACATATGGCCATGGGACGCTCGCTCTTTGATCACAAGTTCTACGAGGAAGCTCTGATCTGCTTCAAGAGAGCGACTGAGCTCCGGCCAACCGACGTGCGACCGCATTTTCGGACGGGCAACACTCTTTACTCGCTCGAGAAGTTTTTGGAAGCACGAGAAGCGTACGAGCTGGCCTTGGATGCTGCAAACACCGGAAATCCTCAGTGGACCAATCTTGTTCCGCAGATCCACGTCAACTTGGGAGTTGCTCTGGAAGGCGAAGGCATGCTGCTGAACGCTTGTGAGCACTACAGAGAAGCAGCGATACTCCATCCTCCTCACTATCGAGCTCTTAAACTTCTGGGAAGCGGCCTGTATGGCGTTGGCGAATACAGAGCGGCAGAAAAGGCTCTCGGCGAAGCGATCTTTTTGAAGTCGGACTATGCTGATGCTCACTGCGATCTCGGGTCTGTTCTTCATGCTTTGGGGGACGATGAAAGAGCCATAGTGGAGTTCCAGAAGGCTATTGATATCAAGCCGGATCACATGGACGCACTGTACAACCTTGGAGGACTGTTGCGTGACACAGGGAGGTTTCAGAGAGCAGCAGAGGTTTACTCGAGGGTGCTGTCTTTGAATCCTAGTCACTGGCAAGCGCAGCTAAACAGAGCGGTTTCTTTACTCGGTGCCGGTGATACCGAGGAAGCAAGGAAGGCGCTGAAAGAAGCCTTCAAGATGACAAACCGGGTCGAGCTTTATGATGCTATCGGCCACCTCAAGCACCTCCAGAAGAAACCGAAGGGACTGAATGGAATGATCAAAGGTGCCCAGGATGTCGAGCGCAGCGACAGTGGCTTTGTCATCGCAGATCCGTCAACTTTCACAAGAGTTTCCAACAAAACGACACCTCGACCGTGGATTGCGCACGCTCTTAAGATCCGGGCTTTTCAGAAGCATACCAGGCTCCATCGCTGCAACCTCGCCAGCTTGAGCAAAGAGATGGCAAACAAACCATCGGCATCTCAAACAGCCGGTACAGCCGGGCACATTTCGGAGGCGCTCATACGCAAGGCAGATCTTGAGAAGTCTCTGAGGAGAATGCTCGGCTTCTTGCCACCGACTACTTTCCAGTCGGCGGTGAAGGCAATCAACGAGAAAGTGCTGAGCGTGCTGGACAAAGTAGGCTCTGGTCGAGTGGACCTGGGAATGTTCTTGGCGACAATAGCACCGCTCTGCGCAGGTCCAGTCGACAAGAGGAAGCGGACGGCTTTCGACTGCCTGGTGCACCGATCGACCAAGGGACTGGGTGCCGAGATCGTCAAGTCGGACGCTAAAACGTACTTCAAGCACCTGCGAGCCATTTACTTATCCTCCGAGTCGACGAGCGAGCTGTGGGAAGTTCGTGGCGAAGACGAACACGCCAACATCTCGTATCCCGAGTTCGTGGAGATGTTTGACGACCGGGACTGGGCCTTTGGCGTTCTGCACACCGTGGTGAAGCTCGAGGCCGGGGACCGAGTTCGTCACAACGGGATAGCCTGCGCGGTGTGCTCGTATCCCATAACAGGTCCTCGTTTCAAGGAGACAAACGCCAACTTCAGCCTGTGCTCTACGTGCTACGGCGATGGAAAAGTCCCGGATCACCCCAAGCAGGAGAGCTACTCCTTCCGGGAGTACAACTCGGAGACGGACGCTGTCAAGGACAAGCTACGATTCCTCGGAAGGTCATAGAAAGGGAGTTCTTCTGCTGGTGCTCAGTACCCCTGCCAAATTGGTGGGTACGTATCCTTTTCCTGTTGTTTTCTTCCCGTTACTCGCTGCTCATCGTCGCTTTCATTCGCAGGTGCTAGCTACCAGCAGAAGCTGTGTGTAGATATACGTCGTGGTTACTGGTTGGAAGATTTTCATGGTCGACGAGAGAAATAAGCCAGTGTAATGTGAAGAACGAAAGAAAAGTCTGGTGAGCTTTTCTTTGCTTTTTCTTTTTGCTTCTTCTTGTGTGTGTTGAACTTCGAGATAATCCAGATATGTTTTGTTTATCCAATCGATGAGGATATCTTGCGTCGGTGGACAAAGAGAATTCCATCACAGGAAATCTTTTAAGCTCGTCACACTGAGCGGATTGATCGGGACAAAAAAGAAGAACCGATCATCCAGAGCTAAGTTTAATCTCAAGACTTTGACCCTCGAGGAGTACCTGGGTACTTAGTGGAGATTACGTCGGGCTCTGCTTATTCTACTAACTTCTCGCCTTTTCGATGCATGTAAGACGTCGCGATCCGGCTGGGACTATGGAAGAAAAGTCAGATCACGGGGCACACAAAAAAAAGAGATGGAGAGAGAGAAGTGGAGGAAATTTTCGAGCAAGAGGGCTTGAGAGCTCACATGAAATGAGAGAAGTAAGTAGCGTATAAAAATGTCGGTGTTCTAAAGGGAAGAACTCCCGGTTCTACGCGAAAGGCGATGGTGGTATGAGAACGGTGGGTCATATCAATGAAAGTGGGAAAGAAAGGGGGCAAAAGTTGTCAAGGAAAGAAATAGAGTGATCTCTTCTCTCTCGTCTAGAGCTGGATTTAGGTCGTGTGTGTGTGTGTGTGAGAGAGAGAGAGAGAGAGAGAGAGAAAGAGAGAGAGAGCTCTTCTTGTGTAACGCTCTCTTCTTCCTTTCTAGCGATTAGCCTTCGAGGGAAGATTTTAGGGCGCGCTTGTGCTTGTGGACGCGGTCACCGGTTCTTCGCAATTTGGGCGCGATTTGTGGCTCTTCTAGGGCGGGCAATGCGGGCGCTGGAATGCAGACTGGACATGGGAGCTGGCGCCGGGGGATGAGAGCCATGGGGGAAGGATCCAGGGCTTCTTCTTGTTCTTCCTCCTCCCTTCCTTCTCCCTCGTCGCCCTGCTAGGAATCACACTGCAATATGATCGATCAGCTGGTCAACTTCGTAATTCGCCCTCCCAGGTGAGCAAATTCCCCCGCCGCGATTCCACTGCTCATCGAAATTCCTCTTTCTTTTGTCTGGCACAGGGCGGATTATATGCCCTCCCATGATCTACTGGAGCGCGAGTTTGTGCTCAAGGGACATAGATACGAGCGTAAAGACTTAGAGGCAAGTTTGTTCGTTAAAATAGTTCTCGTCTTTATCATCTTTTGGCCGCGTTCTAAAAGCTTCCTTCGTCTCTTCTCTACGAGCAGATTACCAACAGTCGCGGCCACGTACTGCAATGCAGCCATTACAGACCACGTCCTCTACCGGAAGATGTCTCGCTTCCTTGCGTGATTTATTGCCATGGAAACAGGTTTGTCCAGAGGAATTTACTTCCACTTCTTTATTCTTTGGCTGTGGTTTTGGCAGTGGGTGCCGAGCTGATGCAAACGAGGCTGCCATAATTTTGCTCCCCTCGAACATCACCGTCTTCACGCTTGATTTCTCTGGCTCGGGTCTGTCTGAAGGGAAGTATGTTAGCTTAGGCTGGAATGAGGTATGATCTATCATCTCCTTTGTTTTGTTTTTCCTGACTTTGATATTTTAGACTGATGATCTCAAGGCTGTTGTAACGCATCTTCGCAAGGACAAACAAGTCAGCCTCGTTGGTTTGTGGGGACGTTCGATGGGAGCTGTGACCAGGTTTGTAAAAGCACGGTTTGCTGACAAGTTGGATTGACTTTCTTGGATATTGTTGTGCAGTCTTTTCTATGGAGCACAAGATCCATCCATCGCTGGGATGGTTCTGGATAGTCCATTTTCCAACTTGTTTGAGCTTATGCTAGAGCTTGTAGACGTGTACAAAATTCGACTTCCTAAGTTTACAGTAAGTGATGGTTTGCGTTGTGGCGGATGCAAAACTCGGTTTTCTTTGTATAGGTAAAGGTAGCTGTTCAATATATGCGGAGGCTAATCCTTAAGAGAGCTCAATTTGACATTATGGACCTCGACGTTATAAAGGTTTGCTGAGCAAAGCAAAGAGTTCTTTAAGCTATGTACAGGAGTATTTTTGTGCTGTCAGGTAGCTCAGAAAAACTTCGTACCGGTGTTATTTGGTCATGCAACTGAAGACTTGTTTATTCAACCTCACCATTCAGATGCGATATTTAAGGCGTATGGAGTATGTTATCGTTTTCTCCTCTGAGTTATAACTTGGACTTGCAAAATTACCAGGGAGACAAGAACATCATTAAGTTTGAGGGAGATCACAACTCTGCCAGGCCCCAGTTTTATTACGACTCAGTCACCATTTTCTTTTACAATGTGCTGCGTCCACCTAGCGAGACCTACGCGGAATCGGTGCCAGTTCCTGATCCTTTGTATTATGACGTAAACGGATATGTCTTTGACGAGGACATTGATGAGGTAGTTTGCGCACGCTTGCCGTTTGAAGTCTGCTGACAAAAGGTTTTCTCGACTTTAGAACATGCTATACGAGATCATGAAGGGAATGCAAGCTGCAAACCCCAAGCCTGACGAAAATGGTGCAACATCGCAAGCACAACAAAGAGTCGTAGGAGGTACAATATTTTCTCCTTCACTGGACGAGAAGCATAAAGTTTTTATATTCAGGAGCCGCTGCTAAAACAGACTCCAGTTCTACGGAGGACGCCATCAATCAATCACGCTCTCGGTGGCAAATGAGTAGGACTGTTGTATGTAGTGTGCTGCTGCTCTTGTCATTTGGTGCTTGCATGATTAATTGTTCCTTTTCGCTTGCGCAGGTTCCTTACGACAATACAGAGCAAGTAGAAGACGCTGCGGAGCTAATGAAGAGGATGGACCAATGTGGCGAGTCTGCCTCTTGTTTACATACTACTGAGGTTAGCTGCTCAATAACTTAACTCTTCGTTGTCTAAAATCGTTTCTAAATTCTCCAGGCCGAGCAAAACGATGCCTGCTCCCGGTGCGTCTCCAGCTCCGTATCAAATGGCCTCGATGATTCGTGGCGAGGAGAAACCGGCTCGGATTCATTCCAAGTTTCACCCAGCTCGTCCGATGGCTTTGCCCACTTCCCATCCACGTTTGACGACGAAGAGAGGGTGAGTAGCGCTTGATCCTCGCGTAGCTAAGTTGGAGGCTCTTCAACTTTGTGTTTAAACGACTTTATACTCGCAGATGGTGATGGAAGCGATTGCTGCGTCTCTGGAAGAGATGAGCCTCCGATCCAAAGAAGCGGCGTCCAGGTCTCAAGGTGCTGCTGCTCCTGTTGCTGTTACTGCTGCGAGCCCAACAGCGTCGACGAGCAGTAAGCTCGAAACGTTTGGCCAAAGGCTGCGAAGTGGGCTGTTTAGAGGCATGAACAAACGAAGCAACAGCTCTCACTCCTCCTAAGATGCTTGTATTTTTCTGTTGATCTTTTCACATTGATTTGATTTTTCACTGTAAAAATAATATCAGCAACTTTTGTGGAAAAGCTTAACTAAGTGATAATTAAATTAGAATTCAATATCTTGCGATGGCGTCTCTGTGGCATGGCTTTGTTACTCTAGAATTATAAACTATGCCTCCGGTGGATCTCTTGCCTCCGGATGCCGGAGAGGGCCGGATTATGCAGTGAGTGAATTCCAGTAATTTCGGAGAGGGAAAAGCTAACTGGAAGTCTTGATTCCAGCCATCCAGTCAAGAACTGCCACTTTGCATGTCGTTTACTTATCATCGATTCTCTTTGATAGATTTTCTTTGCAAAAGAAGCTTTAGATCATGCCTCGCGCACTAAGTTTGTTCTTCTTCATTCTCTTGGAGGCTGCTGCGGTGACCTCTCCGCCAGTGAAGAATGAAACAGGTATATAACCATTTTCACAATCCCTTGTGTCCCATCTCAGATTCGCCTGCCTCCAATCGCAATTGTTTTCTATGATCTCAAGTCTTGATTGATGTTCCTGAAAAGATCGCATTCGCTTGCATGCTTTGGTATGCACATAGTTCTTCAATGTTTTTCCTTCCACAGTGATGGATACGACTGCTAAGCAACTGGATTCCAATTCCACTGCAAAAATTGCGAGATCTGAGTAAAATAATCCTATTTTGAAGACAATATTCTTGACATGATCATGTTGTTATAGCAGCCAACCATCATCTCTGGTTCTGATATATGGATCCCATCTTGACTACATTTACGATTTTAATCCTTGACATAGTGATCATAGGAAAAAAATCTAAATATAAATCCATTTGGCTGGGTCTTTAAAAAATGTTGTATAGCATCGAAATTATATTGATATAGGTTAATCATTCAAACTTAACAGCACTGGAGCACTCCCTCGATGTTCTAGATGCAATCGTCCAAAGTGCTATCTATTGAGACCCGTGATCGCAGCGGGCAGCCACGTTGATCCCAGGTGATGTTGAAGCATCACAAAACGAAGTTGGATGAGCATTCGAGGGGGACCTAACTCTATATGGATGCATCCTATACACTTATTAGTCCTCCCAGTCCAATGGTGCTGCCCATGGAATTGCTAACATCGATAGAGGCTTCAAACCGGATGTGCTGCAAAGGACTCTGTACATATCACTGCAAGATCGTTGTGTGAGAGATCCAAGCCAAATTTAATAAATGTGAGTTTTATGATTCTCGCGAGTGAATTCCAGTAATTTCGGAGAGGGAAAAGCTAACTGGAAGTCTGGTTTCCAGCCATCCAGTCAAGAACTGCCACTGTGCATGTCGTTTCACTGGTTGACCTTTCCCGGCAGTATATATATACAATCTCCACGCAAAACGCTGATCATATCATCCATCTCTTTCTCACTTTGATAGATTTTCTTTGCAAAAGAAGCTCTAGATTATGTCTCGCGCACTAAGTTTGTTCTTCTTCGTTCTCTTGGTGGCTGCTGCGGTGACCTCTCGGCCAGTGAAGAATGAAACAGGTATATAAATCTCTCCAATCTCGACTGGAATTCGCCTATCTCCAACCGCAATTGTTTTCGATGATCTCTAATCTCGATTGAAGAACATCAAGTTCCTGAAAAATCCATGCCTACATTCGCTTGCATGATTTGCAGATTGTAGCTATGCAAAGTGTCACCTGGTTCTTACGTGTTTACAATCGTTTTTTTCTTCCACAGTGATGGCTACAACTGCTAAGCAACTGGATTCGTCACCATCGTCCACGAGACCTGAGGTAACACAATCCTGTATTTTTTAAAACAGCATTCTTGACATTATCGTGTTGTTAATATAGCAGCCAATCATCTCTGGTGATCAGGAGCAGCAAGCCCATGTCGACTACATTTACGATTTTAATCCTTCATGAAACGAGGCATCAATAAGAGAGTGAAAGAAATTCTCATATATTTAATATAAATTTGTAAGGGTACTATCTAAATTTTTTTAATTTGTATATATTTTAAAATATTAAAACGAAAATACAGTCTGGGTCTTAGCTAAACAATATGGAATAAATATTACAATAAATCTAATCTTCTTTCTAGATCAAATCTGATCTCATGAGCACTTTTGCAAGTTCAACTGTAACTATGGACTCCGTGATTTGAAGCTTGGTTCTGTCACAAAAAGATCTCCAAAAGTCAGATGAACAGCAAACAATATTCTTGAAAGCAAGGTGCCTTTTCCTTTTGCCCGTTTTCTTCTTCTCATCCAGGATTCTTGCCATGCTGAAAGCACGGCACTCTGAAAAACTTGTCATCTCCTAACATGAAAGTTGGCAAAACTGTACATCTCTCACACATTGGCCATCTTTTCCAGTGGGCAAGTCAGAAACTCCTCTTGGAAAAATTTGGGTACTCCCAAAAGTCAATCCTCTCCCGGCTATAAGAATCGATCAATCTCAAAAGCTTTTGAGCAGCAAAGGGATCTTTCAGTGCCAATGGCAGTGAGTTACAAAGAAAAGCTCTCTAGATGGATTCTTAAGACCTGTCGTGGTATCTTTTGCAGGGATGAATCAGCTGGATCACTTCACACACGGATCGATCTGATTTGGCAAAACTATAACAAGCACGAAGATGGCGACCACCACCACCAACAAGAACGACCAGCTCAACGTTCTCGACGCGCTAGACACGGCCAAGACGCAGTGGTACCATGTCACGGCCGTGATCATCTCGGGGATGGGCTTTTTCACCGATGCCTACGATCTCTTTTGCATCTCTCTCCTCACCAAGCTCCTGGGCCGGATCTACTACTACGACCCCTCCACTGGAACCCCGGGCGAGCTCCCAGTGAGCATCAATGCCGCCGTGAGCGGCATCGCGCTGTGCGGCACCTTCACGGGCCAGCTCTTCTTCGGCTGGCTGGGCGATCGCCTGGGCCGCAAGAGAGTCTACGGCATCACCTCCATGATCATGGTCGTCTTCTCCATCGCCTCGGGCTTCTCGTTTGGATCCAGCGCGCGTGCAGTCATCGGCACGCTCTGCTTCTTCCGCTTCTGGCTGGGATTCGGAATTGGCGGCGACTACCCGCTGTCCGCGACGATCATGTCCGAGTACGCCAACACCAAGACGCGGGGGGCGTTCGTGGCGGCGGTGTTTGCCATGCAAGGCGTGGGGATCTTGGTGGCGGCCGTGGTGACCATGGCGGTGTCGGGGGTGTTCATGGTGGGATTCAAAGCCCCCAGCTTCGAGGAGAGCCCCGGGCTGTCCACGCCGCACGAGGCCGACTACGTGTGGAGGATCGTCTTCATGCTGGGCAGCGTCCCGGCGGGGCTCACGTACTACTGGCGGATGAAGATGCCCGAGACCGCGCGGTACACCGCGCTCGTGGCCGGGGACCTTGACCGGGCAAACGCCGACATGAGCAAAGTCCTCCAGGTCGACCTCACGGACGATCACCATCGTGGCGTTGATCATCAGGTACTTTGGCCTCCATTTTCCTTAACGTTTGTTCTTTGGCTTGAAACAGTTCAAGATTGCTAAGAAGGTCCAGGCTCAATCATCCTTCCCGCTCTTTTCATCACGCTTCGCGAGGAGACACGGCCTCCACCTCTTCGTCACTACCACCACCTGGTTCCTCCAGGCCTTCGCCTTCTACAGCCAACAGCTCTTCCAAAAGGACATTTACACCCAGGTGGGATTCATCAAGCCCGCCAAGACCATGTCTGCACTCCAAGAGGCGCTGGTCACTGCGAGAGCGCAAGCCCTGGTGGCACTGTGCGGGACGGTCCCGGGCTACTGGGTCACCGTTGCGCTCATCGATCGATTGGGCCGCAAGCCCATCCAGCTCCTTGGCTTCCTCATGATGGGCACTTTCATGTATGCTCTGGCCGTCCCCTACGAGAGCTACTGGCGGGGCAAACACCTGGACGCCGCCACTGGCAAATACCAAGGCGGCCACAACGTTGGCTTCGTGGTGCTCTTCGCGCTAACATTCTTCTTCGCCAACTTTGGACCCAACAGCACCACCTTCATCGTCCCCGCGGAGGTGTTCCCCGCGCGGCTGCGCTCGACGTGCCACGGCATCTCCGCAGGCGTGGGCAAGCTTGGGTCCATCCTGGGCGCCTTTGGCTTCGTCTACGTGTCACAGCCCACCAGGAAATCCGAGCTCCCACGGGGATACCACCACCCGGGGATTGGGATGAGGAACGCGCTGCTGCTGCTGGCCAGCGCCAGCATGCTGGGCTTCTTCATCTCGCTGCTCATGCCGGAGACCAAAGGTAAGAGCCTTGAAGAACTCTCTGGTGAAAGCGTCATGAATGAAAGCAAAGTTGATGTTCAGAGTGTTTAGTCTATATTAATAAATTATGGAATTTTCACTGATGAAAACACGCATGGAAACCTAAAACGGAAAATGAGAAAGGACAAAGGAGCGTAAACTTATATAAATTTAATTCCAGTTGTAAAGAGTACTTTTCCCTGCTTCTGGGAGCTCCTTTTGACGTGGCGATCCACCGAGGTGGCAGCGCCATGTGTTTGGCGCCAAAAGCTCAGAAGATTTTTATTGACCTAGCTTTCGATTCGATCGATGCGCCTGGCCGCAGATCGCGCGCACACACGGGAGGGCGCTGCCGCGACTGGCAGTGGGCGATCCCGCGCTCCCAGAATCCTTTCTTTTTTCCCCTCTTGCTCCTCCTTTCGCTCTTTTCTTATTGCGATTCTTTGTCGCGTATGTTGCAAAGGCTACGCAACAGAGGCTGAGTGTAGCTGTAATGATTCCCGAGCCCACAATGTGTCGCATCCATTGCCGTAGCTTTCCACTCTTCTTTTTCGGCTCCTCTACTGGAGAGCTCCAGGCCATTTGCTGCTCACAGAGCGCACCATCCCACTGCGATTTGTCCTTCTACGAATCAGATCTTCTGCGCACTGTCGAATGCGAGTATTTTTTTTTTCCCCTCAATTGACAATTCCACATTGGTTTTGTGTGATTAGTTTAAAGAAATGAAGATGAGCCAGGGCTATAAAGGGTGGAGGCCTCCTCGTCTCAGGGAAGTGGTGTCTCATTGCAAAGAATTCCACGCTCCTACAGTCCAGAGGTGCCTCTTCGAAAGCTTGGTGAGTTTTGTCATATTTTTTTTTCTCTCACTCTCTCTCTCTCCCCCCCCTCCCTCGACCTCCTAGATTCTTTCAGGTTGTTTCGGCTTTCCCGTGTTTTATTTGCTCGCATGCCTCTTCCCCCGGTTCTTCTAGTTCGTGTTTTTGTTTTTAAAATGCACAGTCGATTCGATTTTCATCTAAGCCTACTCACTCAGGACTGTGAGATTCTTTCCCTTGCAGGCTAGCGTTTCACAGCTCCCTTTCGACATCAGCTATGGGAGTGGTAGCGCTCGAGAGCTTTGAGCCGGCTCTGACACCTTCTCTCGATCACAGGGATAGCCACCACTCTGATCAGGAAATACCATCCATTGATCTATTGCCTTTTTTCGAGCCAGATTCATCCCCAGGCATCGCAGCGGGCAGGGAACGAATAATTCAGGAGATCGCCAGAGCCTGCGAAGAATGGGGATTCTTCCAGGTTGTCAACCACGGCCTCGACTGCGACTTGATAACTCAGTCCCTCCGGGCTTCCAAGGATTTTTTCGATCTCTCTATGGAAGAGAAGATGAAAGTGAGACCCCCTCCAGGAACTTGTCCCGTGCCCATGGGATTCTGTCACAACAGTGGAATTGACGGCCTTGTGGAGAGAAAGGAACATCTTTTCTTCTTCGCTGAGGATGGATCACCGACGAAGTCACCTGACAGTTTCTCGAAGTACAACGTTTGGCCGGGAAAGCCACAAAACTTCTGGTAAGACGTCTACTGTTCTTTCTTTCTTCTTTCTTTCTTAGTCTCTGGGATTGATCGCAGCTCAATTGTCCGCGAGCGACTTATTGTCGAGGGCCAGAAAACAGCGATTTTCCTGCTGAGTCTTATTTCCCGGAGCTTGGGACTGCCGGATAACTTCCTGTACGAGCACTACAAGGAGAAGATGAACGCTCTCATCATGCTCTTCTACCCGGTTTCGGACATCCCGGAAGACATCGGCCTCCACAAGCACCAAGATGGGAACATTCTCAGCGTGGTGGCACAGAACGAGACCGAGGGACTCCAGGTCTTGAAGGACGACAAGTGGATCACAGTCAAGCCACGCACGGGGAGCTTGGTTGTCAACGTTGGCGACATTGTCCAGGTATGTTTTTCTTCTTCGTGATCTCCATTCTTTCATGCTTAGAAATTCATAGAGCTTTTACTTTGTCTCCCTCAGGTGTGGAGCAACGACAGATACAAAAGCGTCCAGCACCGAGTCATCAACAACGATCAAAACGTCCGCTACTCGTTCGCCTTCTCCTGTGTTCCTGGAGTGAGCACACTGGTAGCTCCGCTCCCGCAGTTCACGAGCGAGATCCAACAGGCCCCGCGCTACCGGGAGTTCCAGTATGGGGAGTACATGATGTACAGATTCGAGAACAAGAAGATCGTATCCAAGAACTCGGAGGAGATCACCATCAAGTACTATTCAACCGCAGAGGAGTAAAGATCGCAAGAACAGGAGACACAAGCAGAAGAAAGAAGAAGAAGAAAATCGATGTTAATTATCTGTCGACAGCAACAGGGATAAATCTAACAAAAAGACACGGGTTATGTTTTTAGGCCGTATTCTTTCTTGTCCGAAAACTTGGCATGACGTGATCGGTGATGTACGTGTTTCAGGTGTCCAGAGGGACAGGCATTCTTCCCAAAGATGGCGTGACCACCACCGCCACACCGCTTTGCGGTAGGACAGGAGCTTTTCTATTTTATTTTCTCCCTCTCTCAGGCGCAAACGCGAAAGAAAAAGATGGCAATTTGGAGGAAGCGTCTGCTTGAGAAATCATGAGTAGCATCTCTCTGATGGGGGAAAAAGGGGGAAGAAAGGAAAAAAAAGAAAGAGCTTTGGTTCAAGAGCTTTGTAGGAGAACCAGCCATTGAGAATCCAAGTGCCTTCCTTACATGCTCCGAGTAAATGGAAGCTCCTTTTGATTCGCTTTCATGGTATACAAATGAACACGACACGGCACAAACAATACACAACACGAAGACGCACACGAAACATGCACTGACAAGGCTGGCACAATCTTTTTGACGAGACCCACCTTCCTTGCTACAAACTTCCGGGCCAAAAAGAAGTTACATTATATAGATATGATCAAGTGGCTCACTGGATATCCAGAAACTCGCATCCCTGTTATGCTAATGGAGGACCATGGGAATGATCATCTCCAAAACAGATTGCATGCACCTCGTTTCCAGAACCAAAGAAAAAATTAGTGGACAAAACCCTCTACCGAAAGACTTTGAAGCATTATTATAGAATTTGTAAAGATGCTTGTTCCATCCTCAGGGATGAGCCATCTCATTGCCATGTCTTTCCATGTCACTTATCTCAGTAGTGGCAACCACTTTATACATGGAAGCAAGAAAAAATAGAGTCAAAGTTCTTCAACTTCCTGATGAACAGCAAATGCTTCAATGGTGGTTTTCCATTGACATGACAAGAACAATTTCCAAAGCTCCAAGTGAGGAAAGTTATGATTCCTGAATAATAGACATTCTCCCTAGATTATTTTTGTTTTTATAAATTAATAATAAATCTCACAAAACTAACTAGTTCTAAAGCTTTCATGATAAATTGACATTTCAAATTTATATTTATCTATTTTCCCTTTATCCATTTTATCTTTTACTTTTTTTTCATGAAATTGGAATTATAAAATAGATTAATAGAAGTAGAAAAATTTAAATAAGTACTATTTAGGATTATCCATATCAAACAATTTTTATTCAAATCCTATTCTTAGTTTATTATTATCATGCATTGCATCTAATTTTTCAAAGGAGAGTCTTGATTTTATTTTCTTTCATCATAGATACATACATTTTTCATTGTACTATAATTTTATTTATTGCTTTATTACTTTACATTGAACATAGCTAAAGGATTTCTAAATTGAAGTTAATTACATTGCTAAATTATAATATTAATCATACTAAGATGCCAAGATAATATATTATATATATATATTAGCTATTGGATAAACTCACCACTAAAAAGACTAAAATATTTTAAAAAATTAAATTAAAGAGAATGAAAATTAAATTAATATATTATGGTGAACAAAAACTAAAATAGGAAGTGGAAAAGCTTCTTAGACTCATGAATTGCTATTAACAATATGATATAATATAAAGTCCTTTAGAAAAATTGATCACCAAATTCTGCTTCCAGGGAAATAACAAAAATCTAAAGTATAAACCATTCAAAATAAAGAAATTATGGATAAATCCTCAAAATATGTATGCATATAAATTTTTTTTTGACTTTATCTAAAACAGAATGAGTATGAGTATTTAGTGACAGCTAATGCAACACTAAAAAGATAGAAATATTTCATATAATAATAAAAAATAAATGAAAAGTTTATATTATTCTTTATTTAGTAAAGTATAAATTTATCTTCCTTCATGTTGTGATTCAAAACTATGCTAAAAATTCTGAAATCTCTACACTCTAGAATTTTATCAAACTTAATACACATTATGAAATTGTACAACTCTTTAAAATTTGCAAAACATGTTTTATGTAATTCAAGAACTTTAAATTAGCTTCTTTATTAGACCTAATAGTTTATTTTAAATTTTTATTTTATTTTAGCATAAATTACATACTATTAAGTTTTTATTGAAAATTTTAACTATCATTTTGGCTATACCACATTAAGACCAACAAAGATCATGTTCTTCCTCACAACAATTACATTTGAGTGGAATGTTGGCAGCCACTCATGTTCCTGTGAATCATTAGTTAACTTCCAAGTCTAGTGCCAAGAACAAACATTTCTTACCTTGATTGTATTGATGCTCTTGATCTCATGTCCTGGGATACAGTCCTTGAGATAAATGTGCTCTACTGATTTAATATGGGGAATCTTTGCCCTTGTCAAACTCTCAACACTGTAAGTTACTTTGATGATTGGTACAACCTCTCAATAGTGTGTGTACCTATTGAAGAGTTTTTGGATACCTTCACCAAGGTATACCTTGAATAGCTAAGCACTTCTAGTGAGAAAAAGAAGAGATCAGAACGTGTTCTGCAAATGCTTAAAAACACTCACATGGATGCCTTGGACACTGCCATCCATCAGATACAATTAGCAACAGGGATTCTCCACTGATTTATAGCTCCTTGAACAAGTGCTGCAGATTAAACAATTAAGAAAGGAATAAACAAACTTGAAACCACTCACCAAGTTGAGTGATCTCCTCTTGTTCATCCTTGCACAAGCAAAACCTCTCTCAATATACACTTAAGATCCAAGCCCAATATCAAGAGGATAAAACCTTGTTATCTGTTGACCCCCTCCTCCCATCACATTGCTCCTCCCTAAGAACAATAAATTGAAATAAATGAGTGAACCCTAGGCTAACCTCCCAACCCTAAAGGCATTCTAGCTTTAAATCCTACAAACCATAGAATATTTTGGAATGTTTTTATGGTTTGTCGCTCCCTCATAACCTAGGCACAGACAGTAGCCTCAAGAAGCTAAATGAGCCTTACATAAAAGAACTCTAAGGCAATACAGCCATGGGGAAAAAATGTGCAAATGACAATACCAATGTTGCAACAAATAGCTATAAAATAAAATAATACAACATTCTTGCATGATAATACGGTCATGAAAACAAGAGAATAAGAATAGAGCAAAAAGCTCAAATTATATAGCAATACAGCTATAAAACTTAGTTTTCCCCTTCCTCATGAATGTTATCTAAGTCATAACCAAAACTTAAAAATACTCTTTTTATATTATCCTAATTTCCCATATAGCCTCATCTATTGAATAACCATTCTATTCAAAAGTATCGCAAAACCCTTAATTAAATAGAAAAGAGGGTGCATTCTTTTTCATGGACCCTTTCCCTTTATATCTGAACCCTTGGAGATTGTCTATTGAGTTATTCTTTTTAACTATTTATAATCCATTATACTTCCTTGTAAGTTCACACCCTCAAGAAACCCCTCTGATACCAAATATAAACTTCTAAATCTAGACTTCTTAGGAAACCATCCAATCTAATACTATTTAAATCCAACGATGCTTAATTCCAAGTATCTTAAAACCCTTAACTGATTGAAAAAAGGGGTGCATTCTTTTTCATAGGTTATTTCCCTTTATATCTATACCTATATGAATTATTTCTCGAGTCATTTTCTTTGGTTGCTTACACAAATCCTGAGTTGTCTTGTAACATATTGTGAATATAACTTTGGGTATCAAAAGATACTTGCTAGTTAGTCTTTATAGACACTCTCTCTTTATTACTATGATGGTAGGAGGTTGGTACTACTAGTTTCCTTTATGGTCTCCACCTAAGCTAGTTGAGAAATTGATCATCATATATACATTTGACTAGATGGGCATAATGACAAAATTCTTTTATTCTTTCTTGCTTCAAATGCCACATCCATTATATGTTTTTTTCTCTAAAATCCTTCTTTAGGCCAACTATCAACGTCTTATTTTTCAATATTCAAAATTCACTATTCTGTAATGGCTTACTACAAGGTCTTAGCTTGGACTATAATGTGTTAGCTTGGACTATTGAATTAGTTAAACATACTTGATCTAGTTAAACAAACTTATTCATTAACTTACACTTGCTAGCATTAAGAACCCTTATGATATTGAGTTTAGTCCCTCAATATTGTTACATGATAGTTTACCATATCCACTAGACACCCTTGCTATCACACCCCATATGTTGGTCCTATGGTTCTATATATTATTTAATATAAATGTTTAGATCCACCCAAGAGGTATATCTATGGAATGTAGAAAGTGTCCTAAACCCATAGTGTTATTCCTACACCCTAATTTGGGATCTAATGCCATTCCATATTTAATAAGTTTTTATGTTTATCCTAGAGACTAATTCTTAAGACTGGGTGAAAGCTCAAAGCATATATTTCTCACCGGGGGGTGAGGGTTCCCAAATGTACAGCTGGGATAGTGGATGGATTGCATAGTTGACCATTTAAGACAATAGTTTGACTTCCATTGGGTTATGTCACTCTTTGTTCTATGTTCAGCTTGGGTTTAAGCCCAACCTCCATGTTGTATTAGTTGGTAGGATACCCACCTCCTTGTGTTAGGCCACCGGTATGTCAGAATCATGCCAGACACTTCTTGACACCATTTTGCATGTAGGTGCTTGATTTGGGGTAGTGCTCATAAGATTGAGAGTATACTGAATCTTCATTTCGTAGTGGAGAAATTGTCTTGGCAATTTTTATCCAATTTTTGTTAGAGTTTCTGACTCAAGTTGCATATGTAGAGACTTTTTTAGTAATTCTGAAGTGACTTATGTAGGAATAACTAAATTGCACCATTTGGTAAGAATGTTGTATGCCTGTTCAATTATTGATAAAGGCATACATACAACTAGTGAGATGGTGAAAAGGAGTTATATTGATAATGCTAAAATGTCTAGATAGGTAAATTGGGAGGAGGAAACTCTTATTGGAGATGTTATAGAAGAGGTTGAGGCTGAGTCAAAAGAGGAAGAGCTTGATGTTGCAACAGTATAATGTATAACTCAAGATATTGAGATTGAGAA